GACGTCACACTTCCTGACGCTCAGTGCTGCTACCCGGGTCTGCGGGGCGGAGATGCCCCCTCCGCAAACGATCGCTGGAAGGCCACACGGTGGTGCTCAGTGCAAGGGGAGCGCACGTGGACGAAGGTCACGGCTTCTCAGAAGAACAGAAGCAGGTGGTAGGGTGCGTGGACAGGATCGGGACGCATCGCAGGTGCGTGTGGGGGCTGAGGGACAAGGAAGCAGATGCGACTCTCCTTTGCCGTTGAAATAGCACTGACGTGCTGACACACAGGATTCCTAGACCCCGAAAGCCTTTCCTCGACCCACGGCATCCAAAGTCTTTGAGAAGAAAACTGTGAACCCAGGTCACCCGAATCATGATGACTGACTGCCACGGGGACCCCAGGCAATGAAGTAACTTATAAAAATCTATGAAAACCAGTGAACGGTCTGTAGAACTCCAGACAGAAATAAGGCAGGTACTAAAATGAACTGTCACGTCGAGACTTCCCCCACCGTCTTGGACTAAAACCAGGGCTTGGTTCCTTTACTCAGAAACAGCCTGTTCGGTAGTGCATTTCGCAGGATCAAGCCCGCCCTGCCGCACCCCCACCCCAATCACAGAACAGAATGTTGTGGAGCAATGGTGATGCTCAACAACCCTTCTGTAAGCATCTGCTTTCCCACCTCATCTGTGCCAGGTCATAAAGAACCTCTTGGTTTTTAAGCCATTCTGACCACAATAGGCAAAAGATTTGAAGAGAGACCAGACTTCTCACGGAAGGCTCCAGCCGCCACACAAACCGGAGCTGGAGCTTCAGCCCCACGTCCTGCCCGCCTGGACCACGACGGCCTCCGCCTCCTCCGGCTCCAACAGCCCAGAGGACCGGGGCCACCGCTCACACGAGGATGTTGCTGTCCGTGCTTACTGTTTCTGTACCGAGTGGTATCATCGCAACCACTGGGAGTTCACGGACACACGGCCCTAAAGATGTGGGTAGCCACAGTTCAGTTCTCAGACAAACTGCGGACTCCACTATGACAGATAGAACAGGTAAGAGCTCGTCCCACTTAGGAACGCAGGTGCTCAGTATTTGTGGCTATTCAATATCCTGGGGGCCATCCATGCACCGTGTGAAGGTCAAGGTGCCCCTTTCCCAGCTTCTGTCACGTCTCGGAGTTTGGGGTACCAGGGAGCTCAGCCTCTTCCCAACACAGCAGATACTGATGATAGAATTGGGGGAACAGCCAACCGGTCCAGTCCTTCTCATGCCAAGTATACACAAACTCCATGTTTGTGTAAATGCAACTAACACATTTTTTAAGGTGTCGTTTATGGTGTCTCTGGGAGATGAGGCCTTTGCAGCAGTGACAGCCACCCAAAGACCTTTCTGGCAACGAGGGCCATATTGGTAAAGTCACCCCAAAAACTGGAGCTGGTGAAGTAGGAACCTCTCCCCAGGAAAGCAAGATAGTGAAAAGTGTGTAATTTTCATAGCTATGCTTTTACAATGAAGGAGGAAGTATTTTCATTACAATATAACTTTTTTTTATGTGAGGGAATGTCTTTTTTTAATTGTTGTTCAAGTACAGTTATCTCCACTTCCCCCTACCACTCCCCCTCCCCCACCCCAGCCATCCTCACCTCCCACCCTCCATCCTACCCACCTTTGGCTTTGTCCATGTGTCCTTTACACATGTTCCTTCCCTCTAATCCCCCAAATATCTCCTCCCACCTCCCCTCTGGTTACTGTCAGCTTGTTCGTAGCTTTAAAGTCTCTGGTTATATTTTGCTTGCTTGTTTGTTTTCTTGATTAGGTTCCACTTATAAGTAAGATCATATGGTATTTGTCTTGCCCATTTAAAAAAAAATTTATTATGCCACTACAGTTGTCCTGTTTCCCCCTTCATTCCCCTCCACCCTGCACCACCCTCCCCCACCATTCCCCCCCCTTTAGTTCATGTCCATATGTCACAAGTTCTTTAGATTCTGTATTTCCCATACTATTCTTGCCCTCCTCCCTATCTATTTTCTATCTACTGTCTATGCTACTTATTTTCTGTACCTTCTCCTCCCTTCTCCTCCTCCCACTCCCCTGTTGCTAACCCTCCAAGTGATCTCCATTTCTATGGTTCTGCTCCTGATCTAGCTGTCCTTTTAGTTTGCTTTTGTTTTAGGTGTGGTTGTTAATAACTGTGAGTTTGCTGTCCTTCCACTGTTCATATTTTTTATCTTCTTTTTCTTAGATAAGTCCCTTTAACATTTCATATAATAAGGGCGTGGTGATGATGAACTCCTTGGTCTTATTTGAGAAGCACTTTAGATTTCATTCTAAATGAAAGTTTTGCTGGATAGAGCAATCTTGGTTGTAGGTCTTTGGATTTCATGACTTGGAATACTTCTTTCCAGCCCCTTCTTGCCTGTAAGGTCTCTTTTAAGAAATCTGCTGACAGTCTGATGGGGACTCCTTTGTAGGTGACTGTCCCCCTTATCTCTTGCTGCTTGTAGGATTCTCTCCTTCATTTGAATCTTGGCTAATGGAATTATGAGGTGCCTTGGTGTGTTCCTTCTTAGGTCCAACTTTTTTGGGACTCTCTGAGCTTCCTGGATTTCCTGGAAGTCTATTTCCTTTGCCAGATTGGGGACGTTCTCCTTTATTATTTGTTCACATAAGTTTTCCACTGGTTGCTGTTCCTCTTCCCCTTCTGGTACTCCTATAATTCGGATGTTGGAGTGTTTAAAGATGTCCTGGAGGTTCCTTAGCCTCTCCTCATTTTTTTTGAATTCTTGTTTCTTCATATTTTTCTGTTTGGTCATTTTTTCCTTCCTTCTGGTCTGCTCCCTTGATTTGAGTCCCAGTTTCCTTTCCATCACTATTGGTTTCCTGTGCATTACCCTTCATTTCAATTAGTTTAGCCTTCATTTGTTCCTCTAATTTGTGACTAAAATCAACCAGTTCTGTGATCACCAGTGTTTTGAACTGCGCATCTGATAGGTTAGCTATTTCTTGGTCGCTTGGAATTATTGGCTCTGGAGCTTTGAGTACTTCTTGAGCCATGTTTTGGTCTGTTCGCGCCCATTACGTATGAGGAGCGGAGCCTTAGGTGTTCACCAGGTTGGGGCCACCCAGGTTGCTGGGTTATGACGCTGTATGTGGGGGCGGGGGCAGAGCGAGGCAATAGTGGTCCCCTCTGGGGCTTCCCACCGCTGGGGCCTGTGTGGTCTGTCTCACTGCTCGCTCCTTCACTGGTTTATCTGCGTGCAAATCTGTGACAGCGGTCAGCCTGCCGCCTTGTGCCCTCACTGGGTCTACCCATTGCCACCCCACACCTGGGATCCGCCAAACGCCACCTGCACCTGGGTTGGTCTGATTGAGTTTTCCTACGTGACCGTGCTCCCCTAGTCACTGGCTCTGCCCTTCTTACCGGTCTGGCTGAAGGGTTAGTTGTTGTCAGACTTCCGTATAGTTCAATTTTCTGTGTTTGGGCTGCATTTTTTTGTTAATAAAACTTTGTTGTCTTTAAACCTGGTTGTGAGAGAGGGTACAGTGTTTCCACCTACACCTCCATCTTGGCGAAAGTCCTCTACAATATAACTTTTAGGTGAGTTTTTGTGGCACTCAGAACAACTTCCTCTGTACAAGAAAAATAAAGATGGCCAGTGTGAAAGTGTGTGCCGTTCAGTGCATTTGCAGACCGCCAACTTCAACTATGATTCCAATTTTAGTTCACGGAATAGGATCGGAGATATTTGGGGTGGGGTAGTGGGTGGAGACATGAAGAACTGCAAATGAGCTTCTGTGTTGAAATGGAAATACAGGGACATTATAGTATCTTCTGTGAGTGTTTGACATATAATCCAAACATTTAAAGAGGTCACATTATTTTTCAGGGAGACTACATTTCATTTCTTGAGTTTGAGTCACAGTGTTTGAGGTTCTGTGTGATTTTGTGGGAGAATTAATACTGTCGGTTAAAAGAAGCCCCTCCTCCCTTCACTTTAGAGCCTTGAAACAGAACCTCAGACTGCCACCAACGGTGAGCACAGTGACTCCAGAGTGACCACCCTGCCCCTCCCTCCTCCTCCGACACTGATGCCATGTCCAGAGGTAGGGGAGCTCCCTCTCTGTCCCTGGGCACCCTGTCACCTCCTGGGGCTCAAAGCCAGAGCCGCCAGTCCGGAGAGGCTACAAGAGGCTGCAGAGCCCAGGAGACAGCTGGGCTCCTCTTTGCTCACCTCTCAGCTGAGCTGTTGCTCCTGCCAACTCTGACTTTGATGTTATAACTCGAAGACCCAAATCTGTCTGATTTGATGCCCTAAAAATTATTGATTCCTCACCACTGTACGCTTCCTTGGCAGTGTGTCTTGGCCAAGGGCCACGTGCTCTTTGATGCATCACGGAGCCGACCTGATTGATTTCATTCAAACCCCTCAGAATAGAGGATCACTTCCCTGGGCAGGCTTGGAAATTCCAGGGGTGGCCAGGTTGATTCCAGGTTGATTCCTTCTGCCCAATGAAAACGACACCAAAAGATAAATGCAAAATCCAGGCCCTAGCTCTGCTGCCCTGCCGAGCGGCTGAAGGGTGACGAATGGCACCCAGCACAGTTCTTGGCACCCGGCCAGCGGGGAGCAGCATTTAAGTGTCTGATGTGCCTCTCGCTAGTCGTCTTGGGACACGGACCCCGGTTCTTACCGGAGGGGGAATCTTCCCTGCACCTCCCAAACTGACAGCTGCATAAAGCTGAACGATTGGGGGGTTATTTGCAGTTTTCTGTCCTTTGCCGTTTTCGAGAACTCTAGATGACCCCAAAACAGGAAAATGACAGGGTGGGGCAGGTAGAATGCCTGGTAACTGAGGCCCCAAAACCATCAAGGCAGCACCCCTGCCCGATGCAAGGAAACCTGACCAGGTGAAGGCCGACAGTGCTGGACAGTCCCCATCCCCCTCATGTTCAGGGCTCAGCGTTTTAGGGCGCATCCCAGTTATAAGTGAAATGGAGAAAGTAGAGGGTGAGCAAGTTAGTTAAATAGTTTAATCAGAGCAGTTTTACAATTCTAAAATTAACAAGCAGACTTGTAATAAAAGAGCTCCAATGTTTGCAAAATGACCTTGCTTCCATTCTGAATCTGCCCTTTTATTTGTAAAGATTAGCATTACATTTCAAAGGACTCAAAATGGAGTGACTGATCTTATCATCGTTTGATGCAACTGATGAACTCCCTGAATGGATATTGCTTCTGCACTGATAGTAAAAAACAGCTGGACGAGAGGTCCTTACTCAACAGCTGGTCACAGGTGACCCAGGGTGACGTCAGGCCCGCGTGGCCCGGGTGTCGGTGGACGGCCCTGGCTCTGGGCACACGCAGCGCCAGCACACAGCACTTTGGACTATGGATGGTTAGCATGGACGTTCTCTCGTGGGGATCGGCTTGCTGGGAGGGTTTTCTCTGTTTGCTTAAACTTGCATAATAGACATGCAATGAGTTATTTCTTTTGAAAGAGTGTTTTTTGCAGTCCTTTGTTTCATACGGAGATTTCACAGAGTTGCAGGGTTGCATCGAGGTGTCACCGAAATGAGCACAGGAGCAGGTGGGGGGGTGCAAGTTCAGCGGATGAGGAGACCTCCTTGTCCTGAGACGGGCCGCCTGTCTCTTTAAAAAGTGCACGGACTGCTTTCCTTACCCTCCCCCACCAAAGAAAAAGGTAAAGAAAAAAATGCACAGAAATCAACCTAAGGAACAAAAGTGGACCTAGTGAAAACGAAGGTGTTCTGCATGCACGTGTCGTCTGCATAGCTCAACCCACACCCAGTAAGGCACTATTTCCCTTCAACGGCACGGGCGCCCTGCAGCGGGCGCGGCCCTCGGAGTCCCTCGCAGGATGGGGATATGCAGAGGCCCACATGCGCGGCTGCTCCTCCGGGCCCTCCCACCCTCCGAGACTCCAGGCATCTCAGAAGGACATCTCTCCGTGTTCTGACTGAGTGTCCAGAATGGCTTTCCTTCCAGAGTTCCTATGTGGTCTGCACATGAGTTTAGATTATTCCTCAGTCTTTATTCTCGACGAAAACACGCAAGGTGGGGGAAGCCCAGTCAGGTCTTCAGAAGCACAGCTTCGCTGCTCCCAGAAAGCATGGAGGGCGGGCGGGTCACCAGATCGGCAGGGTGTTTGTGAAAGACACTGGGTGTCTGAGAGTCTGACGGAGGGAGAGCATGACGGAGGGAGGGAGGGTGCGGGCTTCGGAGGCGATCTGGGCCCGAATTAATTCAGCTGGTCTTCGTACTGTTTCCGGAAACAGTCCCCTGCGGGGAAAAACTCCCAGCATCTTTCCTGATACATCTTCCAGACATAAGACTCCTGTGAAAGTAAAGATAATGTATTGGTATCATGTCTGTCCCCGACATCTGCATGTTCCAACAAATGTAAGACAGGAACGCACATGGGTTGGTACATGTAGCACACAGCCACACACGCACACACACACACACGCACGTGCACACATGCACACGGATGTCACTGGAGAGGCTCCAGCTTACTTAGGTCACTCCTAATTGTGCCAGGCCTCATTTGCTTCTAGGTATAAACAAATAATTTTCACCCTGTCCATAATGTAATAACGAAAAACCCATTTGTGGTACATGATTCCCAAGGGTTCTTGTAAAAGTACATGAATCCTTCAAATTCTAATCATTAACAGTCAGAAGTGAATTTTGTGGAGAATTTCACATATGACCCACATCAAAATTACAAGTGAACTACAGAATAACTGTCATTGGGGACAGCCTGAAATTTGGCTGAAGGGAAGTCCTCCAACTAGGGGTCAGAGATGCAGCCACGGTGAGCCTGGCAGGAGGGGCAGACATGCAGAGCAGGCTGGTCCCACACCCACGGAGGGTGGATGAGCAGGAGCGGTATCTTGGCTGCAGAGGCACCCCTGAGGGGCAAGGGGTCCCAGTCCCACACCAGGCCCCCCAGTCCGGGGTTCCAGTGTCAGGAAGAGAGGTCCCTACAACTTCTGGCTGCGAAAACCAGGGGGACGGATCCTGGCCTGGTGCTCAGCTGGTTAGGGCATCGGGCCAAATCGCCGGACTTGTGGGTCTGTTCCTCGGTCCGGGCACATACAAGCAGCAACGGGTGAATGTGTTAGTGGAACACAAACGGCTGTTTCCCTCTTCCTCACCCTCTCTCTAAAAATCAATTAAAAAATTAAAAAAAACAGTGGGGATTGAGGCAGAGGGAGATGGAGGCTCCTGGCGTTCCAGGCAGCCCCTCTTCCCTTGAAGACTTTCCCTGCACAGACTTAGCACAGTCTCTCTGGCTCAAGTGCTGGGGACAGCAGCTCCAAAGGCACCAGAGACACACAAGGAGGAACTGGACTGTCTGGCTGGCAGCAGGGTTGACAGCAGGGGGAGGGCTTTCTCCCTGACGGAAGAGCGGGCAGGGGCTGCTGTTCCTTTGACACTCTCTCCCCCCACAGACACAGTAGGGGGGCCATATCTGCGATTCCACCTACCTGGCTCACACTGTTGGCCCCGCCTCCGGTGATTCCCTGAGAATGCACCCCACCCACCTTTCCATCCCACTCAAGCTGCTTCCAGTAGCTTTTCCATACAAATGGCCTGTTCCAGCTCGCCCTTCAGAGGTTCCTACACTCTCTCAAACCAGCAGCACCTGGCCTCAGCATGCCCCGTACCTCTTGCTAAGTGGCCTCAGGCCTGGCATTAGCAGCATTTAGCCTTGGTTCATGGCTTGGTTTCTCCAGAACACCTCCAAGCCCAGAAAAAGTAGCAGCTGTCTGCAGATCACATTGTAGTTCATGCCCAGTGGCCCCGAGCAGGGAACAGGGGAGGCCCAGAGCCAGCATACCAGGTGGACACCTTCAGACCACACTGAGGCACCACCCAACCACCTCCACCAGCAACACACTCGAGGGGCAGACTCAGCAGCCCCAGAGCCCCGCTGACGGAAGTCCTGCTCTGCGAGGTAAGCCCCTACACAGACAATCCTCCACGGTGCTGGGAGCTCAGTGGTCGCAACCAGTCCTTGTAGCTCATCGGCCTTGGGGCAAATCCCTCCCATCCACATGCCCACAGCAGTCAAGACTAAAGTCCCAGAGGAGGGTGCACACGGCCCACATGGGGGATGCACAGCCAGGGCCCAGCTCACGTGATCAGGGGGCTGTATTTGTGGACCCTACAGATCACTCATCACATAAGGCCACTCTACCAAGCCGGGGGACATAGAAGCTCTACTAATACCCAGAAACAAGCACGAGGAGGCTGCCAAAATGAGGAGACAAAGAAACCTGTCCTGAATGGAAGAGCACAACAGAACTACAGAAAAAAAACCAAAATAGAGACAAGAAATCTAAGAGACGCAGTGTTCAACCCACTGGGTATAAGGATGCTCAATGAACGTAGGGGAAAAGTGGATGAATTTATACAAACTTCAACAAAGAGAAAGGAAACATAAAAACAGAGGTAGAAAACATAAAAAAGAACCAGTGAGAGTTGAAGAATACACGAACTGAAATGCACACTACATTACAGGGGATTAACAGTAGAGTGGATGAAGCAGAGGATCAAATCAGAAAATTGGAAGATAAGGAAGCAGAAAACACCCAATCTTAACAGCAAAAAGAAAAAAGAATCCAAGAAAATGAAAATAACAAAAGTAGCCTTTGGGACCACTTCAAGCATACCAACGTTCACATCATGGAGATGTCAGAAGCAGGAGAGTGAGCAAGAAATTGAAAACCTATTTGAAAAAATAATGACAGAAAACTTCCCTAACTTGGTGAAGGAAATAGGCAAGTCCAGGAAGTGTAAAGCATCCCAAGCAAAATGAGCCCAAAGAGGCCCACACCAAGGCAGCAAAGGCAGAGTCTTAAAAGCAGCAAGAGAAAAGCAGTTAGTTATCTACAAGGGAGCTACCATAAAACTGTCAGCTAATTTCTTTTAAGATTTTTATTATTATTATTATTATTTTTAGAGAGAGGGGAAGGTAAGGGAAGAAGAAAGGAAGGGCAGGAAACATCAATGTGTGGTTGCCTCTCTAGCGCCCCCTACTAGGGACCTGGCCCACAACCTAGGCATGTGCCCTGACTGGGAATGGAACCTGCAACTCTGGTTCACAGGCCTGCACTCAATCCACTGAGCTACAGCAGCCAGGGCTAATTTCTTAACAGAAATTTGCAAGCCAGAAAGGATTGGTAAGAAATGTTTAAAATTGTGAAAAGCAGGGACCTACATCCAAGATTGGTCTACCCAGCAAAGCCATCATTTAGAATGGAAGGGCAGATCAAGTTCTTCTCAGACAAGAAGAAGCTAAAGGAGTTCATCACTGCCAAACCAGTGTTATATGACACATTAGAGGGTCTTCTTTAAGAAGATGGAACATAAAGAAGATAAAAATAGGGACAATAAAATGGCAAAAAATACATATCTGTCAACAAATGAATCTAAAAACAAAATGAACAAATGAGCAAAACAGGAACAGACTCACAGATAAAGAGAATGTTTTGACAGTTGCCAGATGGGAGGGAGGTGGGGGGGATGGGTGGAAAAGGTGAGCAGATTAAGAAGTACAACTTGCTTGTTACAGAGTAGTCATGGGGATGGAAAGTGCAGCCTAGGCAGTGCAGCCAATGATACTCTAAGCCATGTGTGGTGTCAGGCGGGTGTGAGGTAACCCACGGAATGTCTAATCCCTGGGGTGCACACCTGAAAATAGTATCATAATGTATATCAGCTGTAATTGAAAAATTTCAAAAAAATAAATTAAAAATGAACTAAAAAAAGAACTTCAAATGGTTTAAAAACAACTTTACGCATTTAACATGGAAATAACTTTAACTGACCATAATACTGTGGGCTGAAGTTCATTTGAAGTCATCTTCTATCTGATTAAGAAATCAAGGACATTCATTGAACTGACCGAACCGCAGACTCAGCACTTTCACTAACAACGGTTCGCTTTTATGTGAACGCTCCTTTCCCCAGGGTAAGCCTCGCACATTGACCCAGGAGAACGGAGACTGCGTTGAGGCACCACCACGACAACCCGACAGGAGCCCCGTGTCATGTGCGGATTCTTTTTTTAAAAAATTATTTTATTTATTTATTTTCAGAGAGAGGGGAAGGGAAGGAGAGAGGGAGAGAAACATCAGTGTGTGGTTGCCTTTCATGCACCTCCTGCTAGGACCTGGCCTGCAACCCAAGCATGTGCCCTGACTGGGAATCCAACCGTGATCCTCTGGTTCACAGGCCCATGCTCAGTCCACTGAGCCACACCAGCCAGGGTGGTTGATGTGCGCATTCTGCCCACAGCGCAGAACCCCGTTTCCGCGCTCCTTTGGGGACGCGCCCGCCGTGCACCCACCTGTCCTGTGTGCTCTGTCTCGTCTTTGTTTATGAGGTACATCAGAAAGAACCTGCGAGACAGAGAGACGGGTCAGAACGGGCTGTGTGGCCTGCACTCCTGAGCCTGCTGCGGGCTAACTGTTCACGGTGCTGTGAGAGCAAAGAAGTGGGCCCAAAAGAAAAATAAATGCCGCAAGGACAGAGCTTGGCCTCCTTTACAAACACATTTTCAAAGGAGCTACACTGTGTGCACAGAGACGGCCACCCTCAGGGGCGGTGGGCAGGCCAGTGGCGGCCCCGCCTGGACTGCATCCGCACTGGCTCATGGGGCAGGGCCACAGCCCGGCCGCATCGCAGCCCACAGCCAGGAGCTGAAGTGCCAGGGCCTACAGCCGTGTTTCCAGGGCCCACTGTTCTGGCTGCTCTGCCTCTACTCTGCTTGATGTTAACACTGGGTCAGGCACTCACTAAGAGTCCTATTTTACCAGACTTCAGTTAGAGCAAGCCCTGAGTAACAGCCAGATTTCCATTTTCTAAAGCAATGTTCAACCTTTCTGATGGTGCTTATGAGATCTCTGGGTGCTCAGACGAAGGGAGGTCCCATCTCCCAGAAGCAGTTGAGGGTTCCTATGGCAACGGGCACTGGCTGCTGCGCTCCTGCAGGGCTGAGCTCCTTTCCTGTGCAGCCCGCCCACCCTCCAGGCCCCGTCCTAGAAGGAACTGTTCGCCCTGCAGACTTCAGCTTCCTCTCCTCAGTGCGCCTGCTCCTGAGGGAGGAGGATCCTGCCCAGACTCCTGCTCTTGGGGTGCTCTTGCGGGGGGGCGTGAAGCCTGCACGCTGGGGGCTCGGGGAGAGGCGGAGAGGCGGCCTGGGCACACTCACAGGTAATTGGCCAAGTTGTGCTCCTGTAAGGTGTGCGTTTCAAAGCCGTGTGGCACCGTGTCGAAGTAATCATTGCCTATCCCACAGATGAAGCATTTGGTCTAGAAGACAAAAGAAATATTGAAATGTCAGAGTTCAGAAAGCAGGACGGAAGGACACAGCTCACCACGACGATGGCAGCCGCTTCTTGTACTCAGTGTATTTCTTCCAGGACCAGCACGCAGGCTGCCGGCACGCGCACGCCGAGGCCGCTGTGCCACACTGTGCCTGGCTGTGGGCTAACCGCGCAGCTGCGCAGGAGCCGGCGGCCACAGGGCGGGAAGAGCGCAGAACTGACGGCTGAGGGGCAGTGCACGTGTTTCCTTATTTTCTCCAGCCAAGGGGAGAACACCGGGCTGGCGGGTCACATCTGCTCGTGACACTGAGTCAGGTGATCTCAGCAAGATGCTACGTGCTCTCCCCTGAATCTGCAAACCTGGTACCCACCTGGACCGAGTCTGATGACAAGGGGGAAGGGACAGGTGACGTCTCCGGGGGACGGTGTCACTCACCGACTCCGAGAGGGCCGCCGTGTGCTAGGCCCTGTGCTGGGCACACAGTTCACCAGCGGACGTGCACAGTGACGATGTCCAGTGCCGGGAACGGGGTGCCTGCTGCTTCTGCCCCAGCCCCGACCACGCCCCTCTGCACTCAGCCTCCGGAGCAGTGCCGGCCGGGCCTTCCCCACGGAGCCCCAGGACAGCAGGCCTTGCGTCCAGCATCAGGGCGGCACACGTCCCAGCTCAGGGTGTCCTGTGGCATGTCCTCAGGTGGCCGCAGGGGCTTAGCTCCCCTGCACAGTGGACGCCCGCTCACACCCCTGGAGACCTAGTCACCCGAGCCCGGATCCCAGGGCCCAGAGTCGATGATTAAGATAATTTACAGCCCTGGCTGGTGTAGCTCAGTGGATTGAGCACGGGCTGCAAACCAAGGGGTTGCCAGTTCAATTCCCAGTCAGGGCACCTGCCTGGGGTGCAGGCCAGGTCCCTGGTACAGGGCACAAGAGGCAACCACACATTGATGATCTGCTCCCTCTCATTCTCCTTCTCTTCACCTCTCTCTAAAAATTAATAAATAAAATCTTAAAAAAAATTTACGAAGTTCTCTTAGTCACCGGCAGCAGTTGACACTTGGCTGCTAGGTCTGCACACCCCCCCGGGGCCCACAGAGCAGCTCTCCCGGGCCCCGCTCTCCTGTCACCTCTCAGTCACTCCGGTGTCCCTGAACTGTACCCCTGGGGGCTCACCTGGAAACTGGGGTTCACCCCTGCTTGCCCTAAAGTCTATCCTCTGCACCTGGCCAGTTATCAGGTCTCCTCATGCCAACTTATTAAGGACTTTTCTTAGCAAAAACCTCACACTCTCCTGCCTAGAAAATGCTGATGGCCACTGCCCACCCCTGGTCTTGCCGCTCACTAGTTGGCCCGCTGTGTTTCAGCCCACGGTTACCTGTTAACGTGTCAGTCCGACTGTGGCACTGCCTGTGTGAGTCCCTGTCTTATTCTGCACAGGCCGTTTTCATAGACCGAAAACTTCTGCCAGTGAGTGGGCCCGGCCCTCCCCAGCCCATCACCAGGGTGTAAGAATTCAACCCAAACCACTTAAGCTTCCAAGAAAAAACCTGCCCGTCAACCTCCCTGAGTCTCCACACACGTAACTCTCAGCTGACATTCTCACAGAACCCGCCGTGGACGGAGCCCTGGTGATGCGCTTGGTGGGACCGCAGGCAGGGAGGCTGCCCGAACGGGCCTGCTCCCTCCCTCCGAGCCGGAGCTCTGCGACCTTCAGGACTCAGCCTGGGGTCCCTTCAGGAGGGACCCCTGATCACCGGAGGGGAAGTCAGACCCCCGCTCTCAAGGCTCCCTCCTGCGAGGGTCCCGGTGCCACTCTGAGGTCGCCTGCTCACTCTCTCCCAGGGACACCATCGTTCTGAACACACAGTCTTCTGCCAGAGGGGAGGACAGTGCCACACGGCTGTCGGCACGGACCCACCGGGTGTGCGGCCAGGCACAGGCAACCTGAAGGTGCCACACGCCGTCCCCACACAGGCGGAGGCCGTGACAGAGGCAGCGGGGCAAGGGGTGCTGGCGTCCCCGGGTGAGTCGGAAACAGGGACTGACCTCCATGTCTTCCTTCACTTGTTCCTGCTGGTCTCTTAGTTCTCCAAACGCGTCGATAATTAAACCTGCCGTGAAACACAGACACGATTTAATCTCGACGGACCAGAGAATCACAATCACATTCGCAGACCCCGCCAAGGAGGGAAAAGGGGCAGCCGCACCAGGCAGCGCTCGGACGTGGGGAGCACGTGTCTGGCGCTCCCTCCGGGGGGGCAGACATGGGTGTGGTTACGGGCAGCACTGCCTGGAAGGGGTTAAAAACGAGGTGACAGGCAGGAGAAGCCTTCCGTTAACTTGGCAAATGTTACAACCGAGTTCATGCTGCAAGACAGCAGCTGAGACTCGTGCTGGGAAGCACAGAGAACTGCACTAATGTGATTTCCCTGTGGTGATCTGGAAAGCCAGCATGGCCACATGAACTGGGAGGAATTTACCGCAAATCACTCTTCCCCAAGCTCCTTATAAACAAACTCTGCAGACGCCGGCCGCCTCCCTCGGGGAGCGGGCTGCGAGCTGCCTCCCCAGTGTTCGCGGCTCTGCCTGCACAGGAAGCAGATCACTGCTGACCTGTGACGCCCAGGAACGGTGTGCAGGGTGGATTATGGGTCCTTTGAGTCATGCGTGGACTTTACTAAAAAAAAGGATCACTTCATGCCTGTAGAACTTAGAGATAATATCACATTTACAGACGCTTGGTGACGAGTGTTTTCTGAGAAGGAAAGCCACCTCACCCCGAGGGACCCCGGGTCCAGTGGCACTCGGCCGCTCCTGAGGGCTCTGGGTCCTATGGGCCCGGCCCCTCTCAGCTGCGCCCGGGGCCTGCACGCAGACCCATCAGGGCTCCTTCCCTCAGATGGGAGTCGCAGCGCCGCGCCCCGGGGCTCACCGAACGGGCATCGGTCCTTTAAAAGCTTCCCCACGACTGCAGCTCTGACACCGCCACGACTTCCGCCTGGCAGAGCCCGCAGAGGTTTGCTGGCTCCCCTCCGGGGTTACAGAGCCACTGGTGCCACTGGGCGCACCTCCCCCTGGACCCGGAGGGACCCCGCACTTCTGTTCCTTCCTCCACGGATGTCAAGGGAGAGGCGCTGGGGGAGAAGCTTCATCGGGCTCTCCCAGAAAGCACGTGCCGTTCTTCCCCTGCCCGCGGTCGGGGACACTGTGTGGCTCAGATTCTAGCGCTTCTCGGGTCTGTGCGGAGCCGTTACCTTGTATTATGGCCAGGAGGATGACAATGACGAAGAAGAAGAAGGTGATGTCGAAGATGATGCGATAGATCTCGTACTCATCGCCCGCCGGGTCTTCAATCTCGTCGCCGATGCCCCCTCCAGCCCGCACGCCGACGTACATGTGGAACATGTAGCACTGGGGGGAGAGGTCACGTGCTGGGGGGCGGGCCTGGCCCCCACGCCCCACAGTCCCAGGCTCTCCGCGCCTGCCCCTCACTCTGGGAGCCGGGGAGGGGGTCGGGGTCTGCGTTCTGGCTCCCTGCTTCTTTCAGTGTCTGCGACAGCGATGCAGACCCTCCGCTGCCCTGGAAACGAACGTCCCAGGGCCCCTGCTCACACCTGCCACACCCCATGGACCTGAGAAACACCTCACTAGCACCTGGCAGGAGGCAATCCTTCAACGTCACATCAAGGAACACAAAACTACATGTAATTGCATTGCTCAGTTTTTCTGAGTATAACAGACATAGCAAAGGGCACGTAAGAACCCAATATGTAACAAGAAAAAACAGAAAGAGCTAGAAGAACCGGACTCAGGAGCACAAGGCCTCCCCTCGTCTGTCTTACGTGAATATGATGCCGGAATATCCCCCTCCTCCACCACCTGGAACAGAGAGAGCAGACAGAGGGCGGCAGCGGCTGGCTGCGTGAGCCCTCCCGACCCGCGTGGGGGCCCACGGCGAGCAGAGGTGCAGGTGCCCACTGCAGACACGGGCCGCCCGGAGATCCGGGGAGGGCTCCTCAGCCCTCCCCAGGTGTGGCTGATATTTGGAGCTGGACAGTTCCGTGTTGTGGGCTCTGCCCGTGCACTGTAGGGTGATCCAGAAGGATCTCTGGGCCCTCCCCCCAGAGACCAATAGGACCGCACCCAGCAGACAACTGAAGTGGGGCCCTGGGGGCAAAGTCACGCCGGGCTGAGAGCCGCGAGCTCAGCACATCCGCTTTTCTCTGCTCAGGACGAGTGGGCCCCTGGGGCTCCAGCTCCCCCGCAGCGAACGTCTCCCTGCAGGCAGGCAGTCCGATCCCGGCGTGGAGGTTCTCGGACCCACGCCTCCTGCAGGCCCACGTTCCTGACTAGGCCCTCACTGGCACAGTCTCCTCACGCAGTATCTTTTCGGCCCTGGTCCAACTCCTACTCTCCCTTCAGACCCTCAACCAAACACCCTTCCCTGGAGCCCGAGACTGTTCTGGATGCTGAGCACACGCCGCCAACCCCCTGCTCTCCCAGGAGCGCCCCATCTGCAGCAGTGACCAGGGAGCACAGCCCAAGGCAGCGTCTGGCCGAGCTGCCCGCCCTGCTCTCTTCCCCACCCTGCCCCTCCGGCCCTCCCTGCGGAGCCTCCTGGGCCAGCTCCCGCCCAGGACTGGGCTCTCGGGCCTCTTTCCTTTTAGGACCTTCCTGCCACTGGAGAGTTCCTGCTTCCTGCTTAACTCTCATTTCTGTGCCAAGTACTTAAAAAAATTTCTCCTTTACCTTGGGTCTCTTTCCTGAACCCCAGACCTGTGTGCCCCAGCTCTCTGTTCTGCATTTTCCCATCTGTCCCGGGCTACGAAGAACAGCTCTGTTGCCACAGGAACCTCTGTGGTCACCCCTGGGCCATCAGAGCCTAAGACAGCACGCAGCACACGAGAGGCCCAGTGGGTCACTGCGGGAACGGCGAGGAGTGAACAGGCCTCGTGGCCTCATGGGCTTGGATGACCTCAGGGAGCAGAGTGTGGGCAAAGACCAGGCAGCGAGGAGACAGTGAGACACTCAGGTTCAACAGCCACCTGCTGATGGATACAGAGAGTCCAAATGCCTGCAGTTAATGGGCATGTTCAATAAAGATTATGTCACTCAGAAAAGAGGCTTGCCCGCCGGCCATGCAGTGGACAACGAGGGCCGTGGGGCAGTTCGGCCCCTGTGCACTGCCCCTGCTCTGAGCTGGATGGGGTCCCGCCCACAGAGGATCTGGCTGCACGCCCAGGCCTCCCAGAGACCTGAACACTCAGATTCCCTGTAACACCGACTGAATCAGACTCTGGAAGTAACATGTGAAGTCAGCCACCTTAAAAAAAACATTGAGCACTAATGTATTAGCACTGTGGCTCTACAGCAACAGCGCTGTCGATCATTGGCAGGGAGTCTGTGGGGGAGAAATCTCAGCTCCCTGCACACTCTCGGATGCTGTGGGGATTGCTCTCTCTCACTGTACGCATTTCTCATTAAGGAAAACGGGGGTGCTGTGTTTTTCTTCAAACCTGTCTTCAGAGGAATGCAACTGTAGCCACAGGAAATGGGCAGCATTACCACTGCAGCTGCCTAGTCTTTACCTAAGTCACAGCAGAAGCCACCTGCCTGGTCACCTGCTCTGCTGCACTTGCAGTCCCCTCTTTGGGCGGAAGCAGCATTTTGGACAACTCCTATGGCCCTGGCCTCGCACTGCCCGAGGCCCCATTACACGTCCCCAGGTTTCTGCACCGACAGCCACAGGGGCCTGGGGTGTCCTGCCTGGCACGTATGCAACTAAGACCACCGCTGACCCCTCTTGCTAACTCCTGACCAGGACTTTTGGGTGATCATTTGGCTTCCCACATCGAGTGCTGCTCTAGGGAAGAGACTGTGTGGGCTTGTTGCGCAGACTCTTAATAAGCAGGGTATTGGTATTCTGACTCCTACAACCAACTCTTAGGAGCCTGCTTACTGTGCGTCTGTCCTCAAGAGAAATGAGTCACTTTTAGTTTCTGATGTAAAGTTGAAAAAAAGGCCATGGGGCGAAGCTAAGCTGCTCCAGTGAACGTGTCATCTTTGCAGACCTCTGCCTGCCACTCGCCTCACCTGGCCACACCGTGTCCCTGCACACCTTCACTCTGTGGCAGCTCTAAGGGTTTCGAGGGAGGAATCCCACTGTGTGTCAGACACAGGCTGACGGCTGGGCTGAGAGCTGCAGGCCTGTGGACCTGACGACCGAGGTCGGCAGAACACCAGTGTTCAGGGGACAAGCACACCGCTCACCGGTGGGGTCTTGGTGCTGACTCCCCGGCCCAGCCTCCACCACAGGGCGTCCCAGAGCTCACAGGGAGAAGGCTGTGCAGATGAGGAGGTGCACGGCCCACCCACAACGCAGCTGCTGGGCCAGCCACTGGCTACTGTTCCACTCTGAAAATGGAAATCTTCCATCCACCTTCCTTTTCCTAGAACCAACTTAAACCTGGTAACAAGGGCTGCAGAAGGGACCCTGGCTGCTGTGGCTCAGTGGACTGAGCACTGGCCTTCGAATCAAAGGGTCACTGGTTTAATTCCCAGTCAGGGCACATGCCTTGGTTGCTGGTCAGGTCCCCAGTAGGGGGCGCATATGAGGCAACCACACACTGATGTTTCTCTCCTTTTCTTTATCTCTCCATTTCCCCCTCTATAAAAATAAATAAATAAGGTATTTTTAAAAGGAGCTGGAGAACAGGAAGAAGGCTTGGTTCAGAGTCTGGTAACAAGCAAAGGCGGGGACTAGTGCTACGCAGGTCTGGATGGCAGCCACTGGTTCCTCGGACTAGGAGTCCTGGCCTCCCCCGCCCCCTCCGTAGCTGCTCCCCGGCTGCTTGAGGAAACAGGAACAGGTCCAGCTCCCAGTGAGGATGTTTATAGGGTCTTATCTCTGAAAGAAGGATGGAAGAGACTCGGAGATGAGAGTGAGGGAAGGGCTGCACGGTCAGACGCTTGCTGGGAGGCGGCCTAACTGAAGAGACTGGGGATGGTTAGGGGCGGCGCACGTACTGGGACGACACTTTCTCTCTCAGCCTCCCGGGGAGCTTTTTCCAAACACGCAGGCCCTGAGAGCTTCCCAGGTCAACTCTGCCGAGCTGCCCTGGTGACTCCTCCGGATGGACGGGGTGTGTGTGTGTGTGTGTGTGTGTGTGTGTGTGTGTGTGAGAACCCCCTTTGGAGGTGGATGCCCCTTGCATACGCTCAGTCAGTCTCTAAGGCTCTCCAGCTGCAATATGCTTTTGTTTGGGGCTTTAGAACTTTAGATTATTTGTCACTTTCTCCTCTACCATCCCCCAGATGAGCTTTAAATTCTACCTGGATAACTGTCGGTTTAATTAGATTCCCAGGCTCAAAACACCCTGATCCTAAGCAACTAAGTAAAGAAAGGAAGAGAAGTTGTGTCACTGAGTCTTCAAAACTGCGGCGACAGCGCCACCTGCTGTAAGGCATGGAGACTGCAGGGTGAATCCATCGCTATAGAGATTTGCAAGGTCCCTTCGGGCCCCAAGAAACAGCCTGAAACAAGAACAACTCAAGATGCTGCGGATACAATATTGATGAGAGTGAGGACAGTCCAGCTCAGTGCGTGGGCTGGGCTTTGCCTTCGAGATAAAATGCAAAGGAGAACAGCGTGAAGAGAGGGTGTGCTTCTTAGAATTGAATTAAAGAAATGACACCTGACACTTCCCACGCTTCTGGCCTCTAATTTTGTGAGTACAACGGTAAATGGCCAGTAATAGTTCCAATGTGGCTGGCTTTTCAAAACCTACTGCACAGGCATTAATAAGATGCAAGAATAGGGGGCACTACACCAAGACTACTCTCCCCAGCAAGGCTGTCATTTGCAATGAGGGGAGATAAGGAACTTCCCAGACAAGAAGAGCAAAAGGAGTCTCTCACCACCAAACCGGATCTGCAAGGAGTGTTAAATGGGCTTCTTTAAGAAGAAGAAAGAACAAAAAAGGAGCATAAATATGTATAATAAAATGGCAAAAACAGGCATCTATTAATAATCACTTTAAATGTGAACAGATTAAAGGCTCCAATCAAACAAGATGCAGACACAAGCCTACGAGAAACTCACTTCAGAACAAAAGACAAAGAGACTGAAAGTAAGGAGATGGAGACAGACATTTCATGCAAATGGAATGAAAAAAGTGGTGAGTGAAATAAGTCAAAGACAAATACCATATAATTTTGCTTATATATGGAACCTACAGAGCAAAATAAAAGAACTAAAACAGAAACAGAGGCACAGACAGAAGTGATGGCTGCCAGAGCCAGGGGCGGGGAGGCTGGAGGACCAAGTGAAAAGGGTGGAGGGATTCAGATTGACAGTTACAGAATAGTCATGGGGATGGAAGCTCAGCACAGGGAATACAGTCCATAACATTATAACTAGATATGGGGCCAGGCGGGTACTGGAAATAGTGGGGAAAACGCTCTGTGAAGTACATGATTATCTAACCACTATGCTGTCCCCCTGAACATAACACAAAATGATACTGAATGTAAACTATAATTGAAAAAAAAACGAACAAAATGGGGGGTTGTCAGACCTGACACTGTCAAGGTGAACGCAGGCCCTGTAGCTGCTGATGCTCTGCTTTGCAGTCAGCTGCGTGTGGCCAGGCCGGAGCAGTGACCTGCCTGCCCGGTGCACAGCTGTGAGATGCAGCTGATGTCTCGCACCTGGGTTCTCTTGCTTCTGAGGAACATCTCAGCTGCCCACCAACGATGGGTGTAGCCTCACCCTGGCTGATGGCCAGAGGGCACATTTCTCATGCTCTGTAGAGACGTCAGTGCCCACAAAGCTGGGCAATGGCAGTTTGCCCCCAAGGACAGACACCCTGCACCAGAACAAACCCCAGGCCCTTGCTCAGTACTGTGCCTGTGGCTGAGACATCAGGGGTCCCCCTCCCCTCTCCTCACAGCCCGGGAGGGGCCGTCTTTCTGGCCCACCTCTGCTTCAATAACATGGTTCCTCACACGGATGAAACCTGTGGAAACGAAGCACACCAGGAGGACAACAGTGAGCTGCAACTCCTGACAAAGGACCAGCCCGGGGCCCCGCAGGTGGCCTCCCCTGGTGGGCAGGACCTACGGTCACAGACCACTCCCTCCACCTGACACAGGCCCCGACTTCCCTCCAGTCTGGAACAAGTCATTGAGCACCACACCCTCAGGGACAGTGTGGCTTCAGCAGAGCCTTCTGATGGAGGCCCGTGGACTGTGACACTAGAACCACCAGGTTTCTCTCCTGGAAGAGAGAAACCGCTGCAGCAGTACGACCTGCCCCTTGTTCATGCCTCATCACTCCCCCCCCAGTTCCCCTACCCCGCCTCCCACTGTGCTCCCTGCTGCTGGCCACCCTGTAGGGCCACAAGTCACGGACAGACAGACACGGCGGTAAAGGCAGTTCACAGAAGAGAGATGAAGGGCCTGTGACGCGCCCTCCCCCTGGGCCTGCAGGGGGTGGGGGTGCGGGGGAGCCAGAGAGGCGGCCGTCAGGGACTCTGGTAGAGGTCGCTGCTAGGGAGACAAGTCCTGTCTCTCCCAGACGGGCGCCCTCGTCCCTGTAGGGACCCTTCCTAATGGTTTCTTATGTTTCCTTCCAGAAAAACTGTGAGTACTTTGAGCGCGCCCAGTGTACACGCTGCTGCACGTGTGAGTGTGCGCTGGCCTTACACAGTCAGCCATGGTGCTGTTCCGGGTCTGGCTTCCTCCCCGCCCCACGCAAACATAACGTGATGGTTTGTTTTACCTCAAAATACCTGCATGCTTTTCCATTCTAGGGGTTTGCCATGACTGATCCAATCAGGACTCTTGATAATCTGTGACCGCTGCTCACACCCTTGAGCACAGAGAGGTGTGTGTGACATGCACTGAGGTCAAGTGTGAGCAGTGGAACCTGACAGGTGAACAGGTAAGCACGCCTAAAATCTGACAGATACTATAAGAGTTCTCTAAAATTGTTCATTTAAATTTCCAACAAGTAGTCATGAAACGGCTAGGTTTTTCTACCAATTAACCAACTTGAATATTTACAAACCTGACAGGTCAAAGTTTGGATTTTCATTTCTCTAATTACGACAGAGGTTGAGCACCTTTGCATAGCCATGAGCTGACTGATTATTCGCTGTGAGTTGCATGCTCCTACATTTGTTCCTTTTTCAAAAGGCTTGTTTATTTCTTGGTGATGTGACAAGGACTCTGTGAACTGAGGACACCAGCCCTCGGCTACAGTGTTAGCTACACTGTTCCTTGGTTGTCTTTTGTCTGAGATTTCGCTCACACCTGTTTCTTCTCAAAGTAATTTTTTATTCTTTCTTGGGTCCTAAGGTTTTGTCATGCTCCAAAAAGGCCTGTCCCCGCTTAAAAATTGTTACTATTACTGTAATTATTTGAAAGGTCAAATTCTGTTCTTTTCTTGTTTCCTTTTTTCCTGCATTCAAGTATTTGTTCCATTCAGAATTTATTTTGATGTAAAGAACTAGGTTGATTCACTTTTATCAATTTTCCCCAAATGGTGTGTCTATGGTAGCAATATGGTTATTTTTCATTTCATGATCATATTTTTAATTTCCTTGTGCATCTGAATCTACTTCTCAACTCTCTGTTCTGTTCCACTGATCTGGGATTCCCTGGTACAAAAGCTGCCTTAGTGACTGGTCTTTAGAATGTTAGTTCTCATTGCTCCTCTGGGATATTACTTTTTGGTAGAGTAATCTTGGCATGACTGTGTCAGTCTCGATGCTAACGCACCCACCCTGATTGTGGGTGTTGCGACCCGGCGCTCAGGAAGGAGGCGCCCTGCAGCCGTGGACTTGGCCAAACTTCCCTGGTGACCTCCGATCTCCTCTGCAGTCAGCTCCGATTGGCCGGCATCGGAGGGCAGCCTAGACAGCAGTGATGGAGCAATGTGAAAGCTCCGACATCTGTTCATTTGCCGACCGAGACTGGGAAGGTAATCTTGGCCAGGGCACTGAATACAAAAGCAAAAGCTAAGAGCTCTATTAAAATACGTATTTTTGGACTTTATTAACTCCAGTTAAAGTTGCTGAGATGAACGAGTAACTAAGGCTTCAAACTGTTCTCTTGAAACGTAACTTCACCTGCTGTCCAGGAACACAGGTGTACAAGGTTCACGGGGTGTCCCTGCTCAGGCCACGCGCAGGGATCCACCGCCACTGGGCTGCACAGGGGTAGACGCGCAAAACCGGCAGAAACGGCCCTGCCTGTTCCGTGAGGAGTGAAAACTGGGTCCCTGCTCCTACCCTGCACTGTCACTGAGAAACCGCACAAACTGCTCACCTTGAGGGGCAGACGCACTTTCCACTCCTGTGAGACCACATGGCACAGACTTACCGTGAGCATATCGTCACACTTCATGTCTGGGGTGTCACCGTCTTCACTTTTATTGTAGAATTTCCGGAAGAAGTTGAATGCCACAACAGTGTAGAGGTACACGACGACGGCTAACAAGCCGACGGTTAACACAAGCTGCAAGGCAGGGTGACATTGGCCACGCATCAGAAACACGACCTGCAGGGCATCCCCGTGGGAGGGGGCGGCTGGTGCAGTGCGGACCTGGATGCCCAGCCAGAGGCAGACGGACCCAGGCGGGGCGGGGCCGGCCCAGCGCCGCCCCCGGGACTTGTTCTCACCACGTCCCCCGACCACTTTCTGCAAAATGCAACTACCTAGTTGGCTGATAAATGCATACTGTAGCTGGAATAGAAACAAACTCTAATTCCCTAGCTAAACTGGTATTTAATAATATTAATAAGCAGCCTAAAATGTTCATTTTCTATCCTCTAAATACTTGGCAGTAGGTGCCGCATTAGCTCTTCCTTTTTATGAGGTCTATCCCTTTAAATGATTTACATTCCTCATTAGAACGATCTTGTTTACTTCATGATAGTAAGACAGATCAGAAATTATTTTCTCTTTTAATCATATCCTCAAACTTAATAGAAATGTGAATTGCCTCTAATATCCAGAAACACACGGAAGAATGTGTAATATTAAAAAATGAAACTGAGGCATCTTGCTTTGTGAACAAAAAGCAATAATCAAAGTGAAAGACACTTTAAGAGCCGACAACCAGCACTGCTCCAAGAACAGTTGTTTTCACTGTGTAATTACATGTCACAGTTTTCGAAGTCCTCTTCCAACTCCGTGTCACCCTTCCTTAATTCCAAACTTTACTTTTCTACAGTACGTGTCCGTTAAAACGTGACTTTCACCGAGTCGGTGACGATGTGTGTACGGCCGTACCACAGGAGTGCGAAGCACAGTGGAGTACTCTATTTCCACGTCCACTCCCTCAGACAGCATCGGACCCTGTGTTCCCTCTGACTGTGGTGGCGTTTAGTAGGTCTTTTAAAAATCACTTCATAACTATCTGGATAAGACATAGTCTCTCAGTCAGGTCTCTAAATTAAGTACAAAGTCTCTGTAAAATCTCTGCATGTTTACTGTAAGGATTGGTAAGTTTTATATATTTCTGCAAATGAAAAATTGACTGTACAAAGTGAAGCAGTGGTCACAACAAAGGTGTAGAAGTTAATTTTAAGTGGTGCTAGGGCTTTGGGGTGACATGCGCCTCAGACTCAGCACCTCCAGTTCTTTAAAGACGCTGGTGTCAGACAGACTTCCTGAGGGGGAGTCGGCGCTGTGCTGTCTGTCCCGGGCACCACGCACCATGTGGTCACGTTCAGACTTGGAAACAAAAGCCCCAGGCTGAGAGCGGTGTGCCGGGTGTAGGAGCCTGTGTTCCTGATCATGTGAGTTTACTGTGGATGCCATTCTAGATTTTTAGGGGAGCGCTGATTTAAAAATATGCTGGATTTTGGAAAAATATGGGATTAAAATATGGGATTCTGGCAAAGAAGGATTCAGTTACTCTCAACCTCACGGAATGTGTTACCATGGACATGTGACAGGTGGATAATGAACCAGTAAATGCATGCTTCCAATATAAGTTAATTAAAAATTAAGGTGTTAACAGTACACTTGGGCTCCGTGATGCAACGTGAATTGATTTTCTGGAACTAAGCCCCCTCTCCTCCAGGTAGCATGACCTTGTCCAGTTTGGGGCATTCCTGTACTTTCTGTCCAAGTTAAGAGTGGAGAAAAGATCACATGAGCATCCAGTTCTAATCAATGTAATTGAGTTAGGAACACAGCATCCACGTGCCCTCACTAACACCCCCGCTGCACCAGGACGCTGCACTGCATGCGGGTGCCCCACACTACCACAGGGAGCAAACTCTGATTGGGAGCAAAACAACTCCTTCCGAGAGCTTAACGTGCACCAGGGCCTGTATTAAGACCTTCACATTGGTATTTTTATGTAATTTTCAGAAAAGCCCTGTGAGGTAGAACTCTTACTGTGTTCATTTTACACAATGAGGGAGTTGAGATTGAAAAATTAAATAAATCCTGGCTGGTGTGGCTCAGTGGATCGAGCACTGGCCTGCTGGATGGACCTGAGTTGCAGGCCAGGTTCCCCAGTAGAGGACACTCAAGAGACAACTGCACATTGATGATTCTCTCCCTCTCTTTCTCCCTTTCCCTCTCTCTAAAAATAAATAAAATCTTTTAAAAGAAGCTAAATAATTAATATGAAGTCCCACTGCAAGTCAGTCACTGAGACTCAAATGCAGGTCTAGGTGACACTCATACTACCAGTCCCCCTGGTTTATAAGAGAAACAATGCAGAGCCTCTGTTCAAAAAAATCTTTAAAAATTAAACAGCATAATTATCATGAGGTCTGGTTTTATTTTTGTTGGCATATCATTGCTTTTCAGTTTTGCAAGAGAAAAAGATAACCTCTTACCTGCTTGCCATTGTGAGTTACCGATGACAAGATGGTTCTCAGCGTCTTGAACCCCATAGCAATGTCGAGAAGGTGAGCAGCAAAGAAAAAGTTGTTGTAGTGTCCGAGAACGGACATGGTCATGTACCAGGCAAGGTAGAGGAAGGACTGTGGAGACAAGACGCACGTACATCAGGACACGGACCCCGGACAGCGCCACCTGTGGGACTGCGCTCTACCACGACCGCCCTTCGCGCCGTCTTCTTGGACGCCACAGTCACAGAATTCCAGTCACGGGGCCGGGATCCCTTTCTACTTGGGGAGCTGCTTCGGCCGTTAGAGAAGAAATCAGCTGCAGGACCCCTTACTAACAGGTGAGCTCTCAGGACAGTTCTCTAAGATCCCAGGCTAGTGGCTGGGGTGGGGGGTGGAGGTGGGAGAAGCTGTGGGTGTCACCAGTTTCTGGAGAATGGAACTCACGTCCACTCTAAAAGTCAATGCTAAAATCAGAGAGAGACTTGAAGACTAAATGTGCCTGTGCACTGTGTGAGGGAGAAGGCAGCAGGCAGAGCAACAGGAGGCTGGCAGGGGGGAGGGGGGGCCTTCCTGTTCTGGGAGTGGGAGGCCTGTGAGAGGGCTGAGAGGGGCAGGAGGAGGCGGCCTGACATTTGCAAGGAACATTCCTGGTTGACCTGTTCAGCCAAATCTCGTGGTTCTCTCCAGCAACTTCCCACAGCCAGCAAATGGGGACAAACAACTGGCAGTTACGGTGATTCAAACTGAAAATTCTAGGGATCAAAAATGTAATGATACAGAAGCAGGCCAGGAAAGGGGTCCTGACAAGTGGCTCTCTCACATGATGTATTTGGGTATGAAGTGAAACTACATCTATCTCATAGGCTTTGAGACTCTCAGATAAATGGAAGATCAGCACAGTAACTTGATTCTTTATTTTGGAAGAAACTAAAATCTATTGCAATTAATGTTAAGTTTTTTATACGTTTAGAATGTTCTTTTTAACATCTGCAAAGCGAGACATGTACCATTGCCCACTAAAACATAAATGAAAATACGTGGGAATTTTCATCTTGGTTCTATTCTTGTGTAAAAAAAATCCTTATTTCAATCTTTCAGCTGTTGAAAGAAATGGAAGGAGAGAAGAGCTGGTCAGCCATTTATTCCCGCAGGTCTCCCCCCACTGGGTTCCCCACTACATGGGCCAATTTTGAATAGCGTGAGCAAGTAGCTTAGCATCCTCCAGTCTGAAGCGGCAGCCTCAGAGGTGAGACCGCCGGGCCTGGTGGGAGGGAGGGGCTTACATTGTCAGTGAAGACCACTCCGAGCTTCCACATCTGATACTTCACGTCAATGGAGTTCAGCCTGCAAGGGCAAAGGAGGAGAGGCTGTAGAAATGCACGTGCGGCCAAGTCCGGACCCTCCTCGAGGAAACGATGCCACCCCAGGGCCCGGGAGGGGAGAGAGCTCCCCAGCAGTGTGTCCCCGAGTTTGGGGGCTCTGTTAGAGGGCTCTCCGAAAACAAACAAAGCAAAACATCCCCACCTTCTGTCGTCTATTATTTAAGAGAAGTCCTTCCTTTTTCACCCATTTCCCTGTGTTAAACACAAGGTCAACTCACGCGTGGGTGATGGTCACCCCGGGAAGCTGCCCAGCGTCAGCTAATGCGTGCCCCCAGTGTCCACACTGACCGGCACCATACATTCATACCCACACCCCAACAGGATGGGTTCTACTTCAGTTCATCAAAACTTGCACGGACACCCCCAGCTACGTTCCGACTACACTGCCTGCCAGTGAAAGGGCCTTTTCATTTTGGTTTAGCTACCTTTTGTTGTCAGAAGCTTCGCCTTGGGCAGACACTACCCAGGGAGGAACTGACCTGTCCCCCATCCCTACAGCACTTTGCAGACGCCCCCCCTTCGCTGTGTCCCCAGCGGTGTCCTAGCTTCAGGGGGTGTGTCTGTGCATCCCTGCCTCCATCGCTGACCATCTGTCAGCTCCCCAATACCAAGCACATGATTTCCACACTGAAAATCTCAACAAACACGTGAAAAGAATAAGTGTTAACATAATTATTCATGGTCTTTGCAGGATAAAATGCACACACATTAAAACATAGTTTTAAATTTCCATTTTTTTTTAGAACTTGCTGAACTGATTATGGGCAACATTCCAGGTAACAGATACGATAGATGATACAAGAGACTATAGAATTATATTAGTATTTTTTTCTAAAGGGCTTCTTTGTTTTAGTCTTTAATTACTTCTTTAACCATTTAGTTTAATGAGGCTAATGTTAAATTGTAAGTGCTAGAATAAGTAGTTGCTAATCACAGCTGACTCCTTGGGAGCCATTTCCCCCAATGGTTAAGGTTTAATTTACTTTAGCCTAGGATTTTCTACTGTATAGTCATTGAACTATAATTGATTTTATTATTAAATAACATTTTTAAAGTTCCATGAATATGTACAACGGGTTTTACTATACAAATAGCTTTTCTTGACCCTGGCTGTTGTGGTTCAGTGGAGTGAGCACTGGCCTACGAACCAAAGGGTCGCTGGTTCTATTCCCAGTCAGGGCATGTGCCTGGTTTGCAGGCCGGGTCCCCAGGAGGGGGTGCATGAGACATAACTGCACACTGACATTTCTCTCTCATGCTCTCTCCTTTCCTTCCTTCTCTCTAAAAATAAATAAACACAATCATAAAAAGGAATAGCATTTCTTAAGTTAAAAAGGAGGAGATGATAAGAAAATAAACAGCAGGGCAGTTAACATGGCGGCATGCCTGTTCTCCGTGAAAGCAACCTACAGCAAAGAAAGGTTCACACCAGGAAGCCTCAGCTCCCTGTGGTACATCTGTGCTTCAGTCTACAAATTAGTCTTATGGTTAAGTATTGTCTGTCCCTACACACATTAGGGTGGCAAGTCTGCTCTCCACGTCACGGGGCAGCACGTCCTCTCCAAGGTGCGTGGTGACACGTGAGGTGGGTGCGGTGGGGCTTTTTGAGTGGGAAAGGGGTGGCCAAACTGGGCCATCAGCGTAGGGCTTGTACTGGGCCCCGGGGCAGGGACAGCTATCAACCAGAAGCTTGGAGCTCTGCTGGGTGGTTCTGGGATATATGAAGCACACCAGCTCTCTGGCTGCTGCAGCCATTCTGTGTACACGAGGCAAGCTGGCCACCTGTTCAGATGTGTACACACCAAGCCCCATCTATTCGGTTCATAACTGAATGATACAAGCAGATACAGGGCTCTTCCTGTACCCAACTGCTCACATGAAGATAATATTCATAGGGAGCTGGATAATCTTCTAAAATTTGATCTTTCTAAACATTTTTATAAGAGAACAGCACCTGTAAATATTTTCCTGGCAATGTACATCATTCACTAGATCTCTGTGCTTCTCATTTCATTAGCCATAGGTAGAGGTGTTAATAAAAACCACGTTCATTTCTTGGTACCCTGGTAGAGGTCAAACTTGCAAATATTTACTGTGTAAAACAGTAGAAAATCCCACTGCTTTAGAACCTTTGTTCACAGCAAAAAAACAATCTAAACTTCCTTTTGATTTTTTTCTAACTCATTTTCTAGAGTCACAAATGTGACTATGAAAAACATGTAATTCAGTAAAATTATTTAATTCTGTGTGTTAGCAGGAAGCTCTGCCCACTCACGCTGAGTCCTTGTTCCAATGCTGCTCCAGCACAGGGGCCTCGCTCCTAGAAGTGCCACCTTTTAGCTGCCGCGCCTTGTACCTGCGACCCTCTTTTAAGCGCCACATTTGTTTTCTTAAAGGGTCCAAGAAATATTTTGGATCTAAATTCAGTTGTTGTCAGATGTGTGCCTATCTCACTGCTTTTTAACAGGGTTCATGTTATTTTAATGACCCAAGTAGCTCTAACAAGTTTCCAGAAAAATAAAAATATATAACTGGTGAGATACATCAGCCAAAAAATTTTTAATGCTTGCTAAAATATTTATCTAAGACAAAATAATTGCTCTTTAGAACCTCCAATACCCATCCTTTCAAAATAATCATCACATCCCTACCTGACTGAGACCATAAACACTCAGATAAGAAAGTCTCATGTAGTTTAATTAGGGAAGGTAACTATTATGATTTTTCCAAATCGTTAAGTGGCTACAATAAGAAGTTTTACATATATATACATATATATATATGATTTTTATTTATTTATTTTTAGAGAGATGGAAAGCAAAGGAGAAAGAGAGAGAAATATCAATGTGTGGTTGCCTCTCAAATGTACCCCACTGGGGATCTGGCCCACAACCCAGGCATGTGCCCTGACTGGGAATCAAACTGGCGACCCTTTGGTTCCCAGCCCACGCTCAATCCACTGAGCTACAGCAGCCAGGGGCAGAGCTATATTTTTTATTTTTTTAAAGATTTTATTTATTTATCTTTAGAGGGGAAGGGAAGGAGAGAAGGAGAGAAATATCCATGTATGGTTGCCTCTCGTGAGTCCCCTGCTGGGAACTGGCCTGCAACCCAGGCATGTGCCCTGACCGGGAATCAAACCGTGATCGTCTGGTTCACAGGCCCGCGCTCAACCCACTGAGCTACACCAGCCAGGGCAATATATTTTTAAAAGTATGGTTGTTTTACATTTATTCCAGATGCTTAAATTTGCTGCACACACACACGTACATATACAATGTCTGTCCGGAAAAAGTCCAGCCATTATTAATATAAAGAGAATCATTTACACTACATGGACGGAACCTGGCAGCCAAGGAGAGGGGACTGGAGTGCACATGTGTGAACAGTGATGACTTCACTGTACTAGTCAGTAGGGGCAGTAGATGCCATTGAGTGAGCATGTGCACTGTGTGGCATCACATTCAAAATGAGTGAGAGAGTACAGCAACAAATCTGCATCAAATTTTGCATTAAGCTTGAACATTCCTCCATGGAAACTATTCAGATGATTCAGGAAAGTGCAGCTGTGGGCAACTGGTGATTGGCAGCTTCCTTACAACAATGTGCCTGCTCATGCATCATGTTTTGTGCAGAGGTTTTTGAAGAAACATCAAATCATCCAGGTGATTCAGACCTTTACAGCCCAGATTTGGCACCCTGTGACTTCTGGGTTTTCCCAAAAGTAAAATCACCTTTGAGAGGGAAGAGATTTCAGACCATTGATGAGATTCAGGAAAATACGACGGGGCAGATGATGGCGACTGGGAGAACTGTGTGAGGTCCCAAGATGCCTACTCTGAAGGGGACTGAGGCATCATTGTCCTATGTACAGTGTTTCTTGTATCTTGTATCTTCTTCAATAAATATCTCTACTTTTCACATTACAGGACTGGACACCTTCTAGACAGACCTCACTCACATGTGTGCACTCACAATATACATGTGTGCATTCACAATATATGTGTCTGTACGTGTGAGCGTGTAAATCAGTCTCTGGTGAATTCAATTCAGCGGTTGACATCTTCAGAGCACATCGTGATATAGTATTATTTCATGCAAGAAGTATATTAAAAGTACTTAGTGAACTTCCCAAACAATGATACAGTAGCATAATGTTTCTGACATACAAATCTTTGCTATTTAAATAAAATACAATAACTAAATAAAATGAACTTTGCACTTTTCTATTGAAAGGGCTACATTGTTCCCCTTTTAAACTTATGAAAATTAACTTCAAACAAAGAAGTATCAGAAAATAAAGTGGTATATTGCACTTTTGCATGTTTTACTTTGACTTAAGTGGCATTTAAAGACAGGAAAGGCAAATTCAATTAAGAACACTTTTTTGCCTTATGTAAATAACAAAATAGGAATCTTCAAAAATTAATAGAAAAGAAGCCAGTCGTTCCACAGCTCAAAACAGCCAGGGGTACAGGGTGGACGCTATGTCCACCCTGCATGTGTCTCGTTTCCCTGGTCCCCGACCCTAAATAAGGACACCGGGGCCCTGCAAGTTCAGACTGCTCGGCTGTTTCTCCTTTCACAGGGACAGGGGGGGCGACACTCACACGGCCGACAGGGAGCTGTCTTTCTTCGGCTTCTTCTTCTCCCGAGCGTCACTGAAGTCCAGAGCCGCTTTGTCCATGCCCAGCAGCTCACTAATCCGGTCCCTGCCATAAAACTCTCCATATTTATCCATAACCTAGGAGACAGGAAGAAAGCCTCAGCCATCAAGGAGCTACATCTATGTGTCGATATGCACACAAACATCTAATTACTTTCATAGCTACTGTATATTTGTCTTATTTGGAAGTCCACTTAAAAATCTAGTTTATGAGCCCTGGCTGGTATGGCTCAGTGGATTGAGCACAGGCCTGTGAATCAAAACATCGGGGTTCAGTTCCCAATCAGGGCACATGCCTGAGTTGCAGGCCAGTTCCCAGTGGAAGACACGTGAGAGGCAACCACACACTGATGTTTCTCTCCCTCTCTTCTTCCCTTCCCTTCTAAAAATAAATAAAATCTTTAAAAAAATCTAGTTTATGGCTGTGAATCTGCAAAAAGAACATGCCAGCTAAGAAGGGCTTCCAGTGGATAACTGAGCTCAGATTTATAAAACAGAGCCTAGCAGCCATTTCTGCACGGAGGCCTCTCACACAAACCGCACTTCAGGCAGAAAGGGGGCTGCGCCTGCCTCTGCACTGAACTACCTGCCTGCACCCTGTTCCTGCCACCTGAGCCCCGCCTCAGGGAGGAGTTCCTGGAATCCTATTTCAACCAGCAGAACTGACCTTCCCCATCCAATTGCAGCTGTGCAGCTATAGCCCCATCAGCATCTTTACTGACCAACTGCAGAGGCTCCGTTCTGACCAATCAAGGCAGTACATTTTGGACCAATCAAACTGTGATGATTTGGAGTCCTCATTTGCATGAGGATGGACCCATCAGGGACAGGGACAAGGACTTCTCTCTGTATGTTAGCTCCCCTGTCTCAGAGAGCATGCTTTCCCTTTCCACAGAGGACACCTGCTGGAGCTGAAACACCAAAGATGAAACCCTGAAGGTGTCTGTTCAGAGCAAAGTGGGACAAAGCCCTCTAGTGGTGTGGAGCCTCGCCCAGGCTGCCTCACCCCAGGGCTGCCTGCAGCCTCAGCTGCGCTGCTTCAGGACTGAGCCGTGGCCCCACTGAGCTGCCCCATTGCCATTTAGTCCTCACAGCCCTGCTGTGAGGGTCCGGACTGAGCCGTGGGCCCTGACGAGCTTCACTCCTTCACGGTGCCCCAAACTGAAGATCCCTGTCAGTGTGGAACTGGTGCCAACAGCCATGCGTCGACATGGGATCGCCCTGCTCCAGAGCCAAGCAAACCCACAGCCTGTACCTAAGACCTGTCTGAGGAACGAGACTTCTAATTCAAGAGAGGAAGGCACGGGAGAGGAAGAGCATGGGCCAAAGTATGTGGGCAAAGAAGTAGGAGGAACTGGACTAAAAGAAACATTTACCAAATTCGTACTTTGTGCCAGGAATTATGCTAAGAACTTGACGTGCTTTCCCTCATGGGACTGTCACAGTGTGTAACTCTTGTGTTGTTAGCATTGTATTCTGCAGATTAAGAAATGTATCTTGTAAAATAGAAAACACCAAGGACACTGAGTTTGGGACGAGCTGGGGTCAGGCAGCACCGCTGTGCAGACCCCTGTGCAGACCCTGCACTCGCTGCCACAGCCTGCCCCATGCTACCCCGACTGCAGCAATTCCTCAGTGATGCCTGTACGGCCCCGGCACCATCCTCTAGTCCTCGGCTTAATTCCCGTCTAGTGCCGGTTCTGTGTGTGTAGTTAGAACCACTCTGAGCAGCCCCTCGGCCCTCTGTCCTCTGTCACGCTTGCCTGGCTTTACCTGTGCATCACGCTTTCAGGTCAGTCCTTAGACGTCCCAAACAACCGCGAAAACGGGAGGAAACAGGAAAAGTAATGAACACAGAGCAGGAGGAGAGTGAACTGTAGCAGAAGGGGGCAGGAAAGAAGGAACAGAAATACAGAGAAGCACAGCAAACGAGAAAGAGGGAAGAGGGGAGGGGAGTTAAGATTAGAAAGGATGAACGAAAAACACACAGATGGCTTAGCAGAAATAAAAACTGGCCTTTTCTGAATGTATGCAACCAGGTAAATGAAAAGAAAATGTAAAAAAACAATGGCAGTTGAGAAGCCTATGAGCACAGATTATTTAGGTTAATTAAAACAAGATGCTTGCATTATTCTTATGGCATGAAACACGGCTGGTCTGAGGGGATTCTCAGTGGACTGTTTGCGCCCATTCCCCAGAGACCAGGCTGGGGACCACGGCAGGACCATGGACGGTCTGGGCTGCAGTTACAATCTATCCATTTATTCAACTCTGAATATATAGTTTCCTTCAGAGAAACTCTTGCTTTAATAATGTAGAAAGTTCTATTCTGTTAATTAATGAAAATAAAATATTCAAATTTTCTACCTAAAATTATTTTAAGATTATTCTTTTAAAGCTGTCGCCTAAGAAGTTGCTCAATGTTACTCAACATGCTAAGTCACAAGGAGATAAAAACTTACACCAAAATAAAAATCAACAGACGTCCTGCTCCTTTCACCCAGAAAGTCTTGTTATTTAAAATAAAAAGCCAACGTGGTTAATGATGTACTTGATTTAAACTCCAGATGCAAGCGCTGTAAGTGCCCTCAAGTTGGTCACAAAAAGTCTGTGGCTGCCTGTCGCCAACCAGGCGGCGGAGCAGCGCAGAGCGTGTGCACCTAAGGGGAGCCACTCTTGCCAACCAGTCCCGCGCCACCTTGCCTGGCTCGGACGGAGCTCAGCTCCGCCCCGCGCGGGGGCGGTACAGTCAGTCTGGCCACTGGAGGGGCTCAAAGGGAGGAGAAGCTCGAAGGCAGCTGCTGCCGAGCTTCCCACTGCGCAGGCGCGGCGGCACACGCACCGCGTCCGTGAAAGGGTTTTCTACAGGAAAGTCCGCGGGTAGGAAGGGCAGGGATGCTCCTGGACCCGAAGATCACGGCTTCGGGTTTCGTGCCCCAGTCCAAAGCTGAGCTGTCTCAACATTGTGGGCTTTTTTAAAAAATAATCCTCACCCCAGGATATGTTTATTGATTTTAGAGAGAAATGAAGGGGTAGGGAGAGGGAGAGAGAAAGAAAGAGAGACACTGATGTGAGAAAGAAACATCTGTCTGTCGCCTCCCATACGTGCCCGGGGATCGAACCCGCAAGCTTGGTATGCACCCTGATCTGCGATCGCACCCACACCGTTAGGTGTAAGGGACGACGCTCCGAACCCCTGAACCCCTGCCACAGCCGGCTCAGAGTTCTTCCCACCTGCCCTGGTGCAGTCTGAGTCAGGAGAACCAAACTTCACAAAAATAAGATCTTTATCGCTTGTATTAAGGAAATACGATTCTTTGTTGCCAGGCAACAACTTCCCCTCTTCAGTGTAAAGGAGATCCCGCCTCTGGTCACTTATCAGCTGTCTCCTGGCAAACGGCCTTGAGCCCTGTAGGTCCCCGAGCAACCTCAAGGAAAACGCCCGCTGGTCCCGGTCCCTGAGCGTGCTGCGCACGTCTGCACTGCCTGAGTCGGAGCACGGGCGGGAGGGCGGGATCCTCCCGCACAAGGGGTGAGCTTCACGTGCCAACGCCCCGCACGTGAAATGGCGCCGACCCGCACAGCGCGCACCCCGCACCTCATTCCCTGTATGAGCCACACTGGTTCAAATCTGAGCTCCGCTTTTGGGGAAAAATAACAAATGTATTCCTTCTAAGAAGCATTACCTTTCTTTTAACAAATTTGTCCCAGTAGTTGTTGGGAAATGACCTAAAAGATATAAAAGCATATAAGTAAAAGCGTGTCATTTTAAGAACAACAATGTACTGTTTAAAATATACAAAATATTTAACATAATACAAAAACACTTCTTCCATTCACAAAAATTAGAATTTGTCTGCCATTTATCTTGTCCTATAATTTTTCTACATGACCAGTATATTGAATATCATTTTAAATATTAGCATATAAATACAGGGGTGGGCAAAAGTAGGCTTACAGTTATAATACAAATACATAATATGATAATTAATAAATAATACTAGAAAAATCTCTATTTTGTGTTTTTACAACTGTAAACTTACTTTTGCTCACCCTGTATATACATGTAACTCGCGAAAAGGCTCTCAGCTAATATTTTACTGGAGAAGAACATGAGCATATTCATTAATAAGCCAACTAGTTCTGTTTTTTATTTATTTGCAGTGTGTCAATATCAATATACAGACTGCTTTGTCGAGTGCCTGTAAAGTATCGAAAAACCTGACACTGTTTTCCTGTGAAGTGGAAAGGCCCTCATCAGCACCACTCACCCCCAGAAAACTGGGGCGGCGGGCCTCGGCCTGACGCTGCCCCTGCCCAACACAGAGGCGCCGAAAGGACAGGCTTGGTTTGATGCAGTGTTGACAGCTAGGGTTGCTAAACACGGCACGGAGCGTTTAGAGTCAACATTCATGGGATCATCCACACACAAATCCCCCCCATTTGAAAACCCAGAACTTACTGGAAATGGTAATTTTTTAAAAATAAGCAGAACTAATCACAATAAAAAGAAGGTATTTTGAGGGCCACAAGCTACTGCATCATTAACACTTTTAATGGTGGAAACTTGTACTCTGCGACGGGGTTACACCTGGCACAGCAGCCAGGAGCCTAGACCGTGATCTTACATGGCTAAACAATCAGTGCACAGAAAAGCATGTTTTCTGTCTTACGTTGCACACACCATAGTGCTCGGCTGGTTTTAGGCCAGGCTGCTTGATGGCACCAACTGAAAGTTCACGATGTGGATACACTGAAGTGCGGAATTCAATTTCCTTGCCTTTAATGCCACACCTCCTACCCTAATGAGAAGATGTTGCTTCTTCTGCGCCTCTGGAGGAGATAACCCTGCCCTGCAGGCTCTGTGCCCCAAAGCCCTATCCCCCAGCCCCGCCCTGTGCTCTAGCTGCGAGCTGCTCTGAAGGCTGAGTGATGGCGGCAGAGTTCCACCAGGGCTGTGGGGACAGACTCAAAGTCCCTTCTGATCAAGGAATTAGGAACACAGATGGCAAAAACTGATGGGCTCCATCAAGGGGCTGACAGCGCTGAGCCTTTTGATTTTCTTGGCTGAATATATACCCATTAATCACTTCTGCTAAACTTCCAAAAGAGCTGCAGGCAACCCCAGCCAAGTGTTTCATGTTTGGAAAGCTGTGAGCACTGAAATGTCTCATATATTCTTTACTCACTGTGTGTTGATCACGAGTCTATCCCACTGGCCTTTAATATCATCTTCCGAAGGCTGTTCTGTAATATAAAGCCCATCAAACTCCAATTTTCGAGCTACTTCCTTTTCACGCTTAAAAATAACCAGCGGGACCTACATTTGGGAAATAAACGTTAGATCAGTTTAGATTTCCTGGCCTGGTGTGCGGTCACTCTCACTGCAGCACGGCCTTTGGGAAGAAATACTTCCTGTTTACCTCCAGGGTGGTAGAAACTGAATGAAAGTAAATCAGCTGTATTTTAGGCAGAAGGAAGCATCTAGAGGTTTTGGAAAAACAGTAAATTAATAATTCCTTGCTTGGTGTGCCCACATGCTCATTTGAAGTAAATTTTAATTTCAACATCAGAAAATCTCTTTGTTTTTCAACATGGCTCCAGAACACACTGACTCCCTTTTCACATGCACGGACTTCACGCAAAAGAGGTGCATCCATTCTGGAAGCATCCCTGGGTCTCCCCCATAAAACAAGGGAAGGAGAGCGGTTGAGAGAAGTTCCTGAAGAAACGTCACAGTCTGGTCTCAGACACTGGGCCCTGGTTTTTCAGAAGTTCTAGAAGCTGCTCCGCAGGGGCAGGGGGCAGGGGCAGTGAGGAGAAGGCATTACAGTGAAGAGGAGTCTCACTGGGGAAAGATGAAGAGGTCCACAGAGGAAGCGGGTGACCCTGCGCCTCAGACCCCGTTCTGAGTGCCATGCACCAAATGACACTGTTCCCTGGAGGTTCTAGGAGCAGCTGCATGATCCTCTGGGGAAGTGAGACAAACTGGAAAGCACCTCTGCCCAGGATGGCAGCAGGTGCATCCCTAATATCAGAGCAACCAACCGCTGGGTTTGAACAATGTATTTCTCTGATTCCTAAGACATGGAGCACTGCCAGCAGACACAGCGACGGGCCACTTCTGTGGGGTCAGGTTGTGGGGGAACAATTACCAATGTCTGAAAGGAAGCTGCAGTCATACCGCCCAAGGCCACCGCACTTCCCAGGGCAGCCTGCAGCCCGAGCCTGTGAGTGTGGAGTCCACAAGGCCAGGCCCCAAGGTCCCAGCCCAGCACACCCAGCTGCCAGAGTTGGGCCAGGCCTGCCCTGCGCGTCTGCCCTGCAGCCCGCATTCCCCCAGCACCTCCTGCAATCTCCCCTTGTCCCACACAGGCTGATTTTTGGAACATTCCCAATGAGCTGCTTGCGTCTCAAAACCCACTCCCCCAGAAGCACAGCCTGCAGCAGACCTGTGTGCATGGACAGACAGATGCACGGGGACCTCGTCCTGCTGCCTTACTTTCAAGCAGTAGTAGCCAATGATGCAGAAGAAGGCGATGACGGTGTGCAGCACGGCCAGGATGCGCAGGGCGGGCTCCATGTAGCCACTGCTCTCCTCCAGCACGTAGTGCACGGCCGCCGCGCCCGGCGGGCTGCTGTCAGGGCCGCTGTCCAGGACGCCCACTCTGGTGTTTCCACTTGCGCTGCGAGGGGGGAGCTCCTTTCCTTCAACCACAGAAGAAGTGGACACCTGATTCAAACCATTTAAAGTGCAGTCAGTTCGCTTCCTCTACAGCATCGGCGCGAACAAAAACAGTGGGAACCCAGTCTTTTCCGACAGCGCTGGGTGGGCGCCCGGCACAATAGAGATGGCTCCTGCAGCCCTGTGGCAGATAATGGACACTCCTGGGCCCCCCTTCTCGGTAACCAGGAGTCGTGGGGATCAGCACAAGTGGGGAAATGAGGCGGCTCAGCCACCTTCTTGGTGACGAAGAAAAGTGAATGTAGTGCTGAGCCGAGTGAGCCTGGGGATGCTGCCGGTGACCCTCTGCTGACCCTGCAGCACTGACTGGGCCCAGGATGCTGCCGGTGACCCTCTGCTGACCCTGTAGCACTGACTGGGCCCAGGATGCTGCCGGTGACCCTCCGCCAGCCCGCAAGCTCACAGGGTCGGGAGGGACACACCTGCCCCGCCTCACATCCAGGGACATGCCTGGGCTTTCGGCTCCTCCTCCATCAAAGTGTGCTTTAGAATAGGGCTAGGTGTGCCTGCTAGGAGGTCTCTGAACCTGCACACCAATTTGATAGCCTCGTACTGGTCGTGAAAGGACTAAGTTGCACGTACCTTATAGAAGAGGAGGATGAAATTGATTGCGAACGCGACAAATAAGGCTAACATTCTCATGTTGTAAAAGTTGCGAGCAAAATAGTTCTGAGGGTGGAAAGAAACAGATAGGTCACTGAATTGACTGACATGAAATTTGCAGACAATCAGAGAGAGCACTCACTCATTTGCCCAAAACTACTTCCTAGACAGCTAGTGTGTGTTGAGCACCATTTACAGTGAATCAGAAAACCCAGGTCCCCACGGAGGAGACAAAGGATAAAGAGGAATCCCCACAGGTAAAACGTAACTTCAGGGAATGCTATACGCTATGAGGAGAACAGGTCAGTGCCTAGGGAGAGGGTGTGATGGCCCACAGAGCTGGTCAGGGCTGTCCCTCCTGGGCAGCCTGTGAGCAGAGCCCTGGGGGCCACAGGGAGAGGGTCAGGTGGACGACGCAGGCACAAATGGTGCCTCAGAGAGAGACGAGCACAAGCACACAGAGTGAAGTCCTGAGTGCAGGGCGATCCTGGGTGCCAGCTAGTGAGGGAGGGGACAGTGGGTGCTAGGGGGCAGCAAGGCGGAGCTTGCAGGTCTCTGCTAAGGTCGGTGATGTCTGGGGCCTTGCTGGGGACTGTGCACAACCCACTTAGCCACTGCTGTAGCATCTTCTGCCCCATCTGTCGGGTGCAGAGAAAACACCTCAAGAGGAAGTGAGTCTGAGGAGGGGGTGGGAGGAGGGCAGCCCTTGTTCTCAGGGCAGGTGGAAGATGTCTGTGGGGCTTCCCCGTGCGCATGCCAGGGGCTCCGTGTCATAGGCCACATCACAGTGACAACACGTCTCGTGGCCTCTCTGGGCACACTGGCTGCGTCGGTAGTGTCATTTCCCACACTTGACTTTGCCTTTACTGCCACGGCTGACTGGACCCAGTGGGCCACCAACCAAACTGGGTTAGTCGCATCGGCTCACCCTGGAAGGTGGAACTGGGTCAGACAGGCTGAGTTAGTCACCTGGCTGTCTGAGCTGGGAGGTGACAAAGTCCTGAGACACAGGGCTGGGGGCGGCACGAGGTGACTGTGCCCAGTGCTGAGCATGCCAACTGGTGAGCTGAGAAAGTCCCGGTACAGAGAGCGAGCCTGTGGGCCCGGAGGCAGAGGGTGCTCCCCGCACTGTGGTCGAGCACTGGCCTCACCTGTAGCCCCGGCACACACCCCGTCCTCACCTGCAGCGTGGCCACTGTCACCGGCCCACATAGGACCACGCGGGGCTGTCTACAGCACGCTGCACTCAGTGTACTCTGCCTTCCATGGTACAGAGAAGGGCAGACAGCCAAGAAAACCTAGTTAAAACTGCCAGTTAAATGCGTGTGTCCGCATAAATCATACAGCAAGACGTCAGAGATGCGTGTACAGGCGCAGTCCGAATACTGCATTGTTGGGTCAGCCTGCTCCCCTCACGGGTGTGGTTCTAAAGTAAAGTGAGTTTCCCAACTGCATTTTTGATTCCCAAAGGCTACCAAACACCAACCATGATTTTGCCTTTCAAATGGCTTTTTCAAAGGAGGGTTGTTCTCAACTTCCAGGTCCGATTTCATTGGTCAGTAGCTCTTGTAGGTTTACTCTACACACTCGTCCTCCCAAATTTCCTGCTCTAAAAACCATGCAGAATACCAGGCGGGGCAAAAGTGAGTCCACAAAACACAGCTTGTTCCTGTATCCTTGTTTGTCAATCACTTACTATCCTGCATACAAACTGCAAACTTACTTTTGCCCACCCTGTACTTATACATATGCACATACCTATGGCCTTTCGCACTAATTTTCCATGAATTCCATCTTGAATGAGTATGAATAGAGAGAGAATAGAGATAGAGAACTGCAACTTTTTCCGTTGTTCTCCAAATATAAATGTACTTTATTAATTGGGGAGATTTCTGAAAATTTGTATAGGACACTACAGAAAAACCTATCATCCCTCTCTTCTTTCATTTTTTTTTCTTATTCCCATTTAAAGAATAAATCTGAGTAGATCTTCTCATTATTAGTGCAAAGTTGGCTCATTGCATTGATATTTTTATAACTGAACTTTTAATAAAAGGGCGATGTTCCGGAAACCGGAGCAGCCTGCTCAGGAACATCAGTCTGCCCACCTGTGCCCTGCGGCCTCACTGTGTGCCAGACGGTGAGGCAGAGCCCCGGCCACCCTGCGGGGGGCCTCACAGGGGGGCCCAGAAGTGTCCTGGGCCCTGGCTGTGGGCAGTGACCATGCCCAGTGGATCCAGGTGACCTGACTGTGCGCAGAGGCCGTGGGCATGGCCACTGGGAACAGGTCAGTCGTACCTGCAGGGCAGACGTGGTTCCCTGACGACCCATCAGCGGGGCAGGCCCGCAGGTCTCTGCCAAGCCTCAGTCCTCCCCCACAGCGAATCACACCAACACGCATTCCAAAACGGCTTACTAGCAGCTTCTGCTGATAAGCTATGATTTTCTTCCAGAACGCGGACTCGGGGGCCTCTGGCTCTCCGTATCTGTGTGTGTGTACCGACCGGAGCTTCTGCCTGCCTTTCTCGTCCTTGGGCTTCTCCTCTTTCTCTCCGTCTTCTCCGCTGTGGACACATGAATGCACATAAGCCCTCCAGGAATAGAAGGAAAAACAGGTTTTGTGCCAAAACAGACAAAGAAACAGATATTTAAATCACAGTATTACTTTAAAAACCTTCTTTTCCAATGAAATATAACACTCAGAATTTCAGAATTAGGGGTAGGATTTCTATTATCGTGGCCTCCCGCAAATGAGTCATTCCGTGAAGTTCAAACCTAAAAAGCATTTCACAGGCTGGAAGTGCCTTGTATCTGTACATGGCACATTTCCTTCCAATTGTGCTGCAGAACATTCTACTGAAAAGAGAGTAACAAGCAAAACTTCCAACGCACCTTATTTTTAAATTATGACCTAATGGTCAGTCCTTGACGCTGACTAACCTTGAGGACTTAACAGCAAAGACATATGCATTTGCCTGTTCACATGCATAAAGGATGTCAGTACATTAACTTTTCAGATAATAATGAAGTTAGAAGCACTAAAATTTGATACATGAACCCCTTCAGCTGCAAAATAGCAGTCCTCCCTGAAAGCTGTTTATGTCCATGTGTGCTCACACACCCAAACCCACTTACACACCACCCACACGCAGCCTGTCCCGTGGGGGCTTTATCTGACAGTGTCTTTAACGCTCAGTGACCACAAGGAAGCGACGGCACACCCGGTCACATGCCTGCACCCCGCAGTGGTCACTGACGTGGCCACGGTCACAGCGGGCCCAGCAGCGCCGGGGCATGATAAGGAGCAGTACTGCCGCGGGACAGGGACAGAGGGAGCCGAGTGGAGGAGAAAACGGCAGCCCCACATGCACGAGTGCCTGGTCGGGAGGGGCCCGGGGCTGCTCAGGAGGTCGCTGAGGCCCGCGTTCGGGGTGTGAGGAAAGGGTTTGCACTGCCCTCCTTCTCTCTGCAGACGCAAGCCAACTGTGTCCGAGATCACAAATCGGGTTTCCCCAGTTTTTAAAGCCGTGCGTGTAAAATTAATTAAATGTGCGGGAAGGGGTAAATTGTAGCTGGAGCGGGAGCCGCTGCCAGGAGGAAGGGACCCCTCTCCCTCACTCCTCCCAGCTCTCCGGCTCCTCTGGCTGCACTCCCCGCTGTGCCCCCAGCTGTGGGTGGCAGGGATGGTGCTGAGGCCCACGCCAGACCTGCCCGTCCTCTGGTGGGCCAGGGGGTGCGCGGGTCTCTTGCGTGTGGCCCTGGCCTCACTGGGAGGGAAGCGCTCCCCAAGGACCCGCAGCAACAGCCTTCAGAAAGCGCGTCTCCTCTCCTCTTTCCGAGCACCGAGTCACACGTACCGTGAGCGATAAACCTGAACCGAGGCCCCACCGGACTGCCCTCTGCGAGCACCACAGGGCACCCTGGGGGCCTGTCTGCCTCAGGACAGACGCAGGGTCAGAGGGGATGGGAGGACGAGGCGGCCTGGCGCCTGGGCTGGTGGCACCCAGGCTCTCTCCCCGCACTGGGGTCCTCATGCTGAGCCTGCCCCCAGAGACGACAGAAGGTCTCCAATCTGTCCCCTGAAGAGAGGACACAAGGGACCAAAGGAAAGTACTGGAAACCACACACACGTACTCAGCTTTTTCAGGTTCCGATTTGTTTTCTTCCTTTTCTTCCTTGTCCTCCTCTTTCACCTCCTGTTCCTTGAAAGTTGACGGGGAACAGATAAGCAGGTTACACGTCACTTTGGGATGCATTTAGGGAGCCCTCTGCCTAGGTGGCGCCAGTGCTCCCGCCCCCTCCGTGCCCCACCTCCCGTGGCAGGAGCGGTGACTCTGTGGACACCTTCCGGTCTACTCACACTGCAGAGACACGGCCCTCACCTCACACACCTGCTCACACCTCACTCACCCTCCAAGGCCAGCCTGGGCCTCACTTCTTAGGTCCTCTAACTGCGCCCGAACCACGCCAACCTTCCACAATCCACGTGGCCTCTGCCATCTACAGCCTATGCCAGTTCACTTAGTAATTTTCTGGTTTTGTCCTGTTTGTTTTCTCTGTCTCGTAATGCTTTTGGGCTGCCGTTCAAAAGCACTGGACACAGCCTCGACCTCTAAAGCTCCCCGGGTCCCCAGTGTCAGACTCATGGCAAACGCTCAGGAAATGCCTGCAGGGGGGACGCCCACCTCACTTCCCACCGTCACTTGGGGGAGTACCTGCCTTGGTATCTAGTATTTAAGATGATTCAATAATTTGTGGAGAATCGTCAGAGGCTAGCTCTGCTGACCAGCCAGACGATTCTCTTTGGAGACTCAGATCTCGTGTTGAATGTGCTCTGGCACGAGCCCCAGGTAGGCAAGAGCTGACCACCGGGGCCCGCTGGGGTCCAGCGGCACTGCGGCTCAGAGACACCTTACCTGAAACTTTTCCTGCACCTCGGGAAGGGGCACAGGGTTGCTCATGAGGTCGCTGAGGCCTGCATCCGGGTTGTGAGGGATGAGTTTGTACTGCCCTCCTTCTCTCTTCAGGTCCAAGCCGAATATGTCCGAGAGGAGGTCGCTTTCCTCCGCCAGCTCCTTCAGGTCCGTGAGGTCCTCCGAGGGCAGGGCGGCCTCCAGGGGCCTTCGCTCGGCCTCCTCCCCATCGCCCCTCACCTCGTCCTGCGTGGGGTCTGGCATGTTCGCCAGGAGCTCTGCCACTCTCATCTTCTTGGCGCCTTCCACGAGGCTGCCCCCCAGGAGCAGGCCGCCCACCACCCGGGAGAAGCCACGGAGGACGCTGGCCACGAAGTGCGCGAGGCTGGTCAGGACTCCCCAGTAGGAGGAGAAGAGTGCTGCCACCATGTCCCTCAGCGTCATCTTCTTCACCTTCTTCATCTGCTTCTTCAGGCTCTTCAGGCTGAGCATGCGCAGGAGGGCCAGGAGGTTGTACCTGAGGGCCAGCAGGGCCGCCTGCACAGTCGAGATGGAGAAGAAGCCCATCCCCGGGCCCTGCTCCTCCGGCCGCTCCTTCTCGCTCTCTTCCTTGCTGGCTGACCTCTCGTTCAGGTCCGACTCTGAGATCTGGGCTGCCAGCTGCATTTCGAAGATGGTGTCCTCGCAGAAGTTCACAAAGAGCTCCATCTTCTCCTTCTCGCCGCCCTCGTTGACCACGTCGAAGATGAACTGCCTCTTGGACTCCTTGACCTGGGGCTTCTCCCACTGCGTCCGGCTGGACTCGCTGATCTCGAAGTAAACCCTCTCGATGCGCTTGGCACTGCCCATGATCTCGATGCGGCCCAGGAAGGGCTGGAAGTAGTTGAGCACGCTGTCCGCCAGCTCCAGGAAGGTCTGCAGCCGCGTGTCGTTGGGCATGTGCTCCGAGAGGTTGGTCAGAAGGACGGCGACATTAAAGCTGATGTCCTTCGCGGGTTCGTGGAACCGCTTGACAAATTCCTCGTAGTCCAGGGTCTCATTTTCATCTGTCTCTGCACAGGACAGAAGGAACTCAGTCTCCGACGGCGTGTAGTGCTTGTGGCTTTCCATGGCTTTGTGGAAGTCCCTCTTGGAGATGACCCCCTTGCCATCAGGGTCATATTCCTTAAATGTGTCAGAAGACGTCAAGTCCTTCAGTTTTAAGAACATGTTGAAGAACTTGAGAATCATCTCCACGTTGTTGGAAGACTCCACAAGCATGTCCACCATCTGCTTGCCGATGGTCCCGTTGACAACGTTACCTGGTGGCAGAGAACGGCACGGGTTCAGAGTGAGCACACCTGGTGAAACCGGTGACTGCAGCGAGCGGAGCAGCGCCAGGCTACAGAACACCGGAGCCGGCACCTGTCGGCCCCGCAGAGTGTGGGGTCTCCGAAGAGTTAATGAGGACGGCAATCACACACAGACCTGCAGACCCCATTCTGACTGACGTGCACGGACTGGGAACGAAGGCTGGCTCGCCCCTCAGACTGGTCCAACAAGCATCACGCTTTAGGATACAGAGAATGGGCAGACGTGTATATCCTAAAGCCGGAAACTGAAATCCAGCCTCAGGTTAATAATAAAAACAAGGATTTACAGGGACCTTGAGGGCAGAAAAACCATTTGTCACGCATGGCATCTGACTGAACGTTCACATGTCTGTACGGCAGGCGCGTCTTATTCGTTCTGATTTTACTGCTGCGGCAACTGAGGCTGAGTGGGGTAAGTTAACGTTCCCAAACGGCCCCCCCGAGAGCTGCTCACGCGGCCTTTCTGCTGTGAGATGGGAAGCGTCTGCCGGGGTTCTTCACAGCACAGAACGGTCACAGTTAGGAAATGGCAGACTGCCCATACACTGAGGAAGTCAGGTGTTATCCTAAATGACGGGGCCAGAGAATATGCTTTTTTCCCTTGAACCGAGGGCACGACAGAACACAAAGGGCGACCAGGGAAGGCTGTGCAGTGAGAGGTCCGAGTGCCCCGTGGAGCAGGTCCGCTGGGGTCAGAGGCCACAAACAGGCGGCATCCAGCCTGGAGCCCACCAGCAGAGCCGCCTGGGCAGAGCTCTCAGCTCCTCTGCACTGCAGGGCCCTCGCGTGGCAAAGTGAGGACGCTACAATCAGACTCTGACACCTGGTGTCAGGGTGGATCGGTACTTACGTCAGGAGCTGGCAGGTTCTAAGAGGTTCATTTCATGTTGTCATGGCTATGGCTATGGTTGCCGTTCTGGGTATTGCTCTCACTTGGACTAGCATTTGACTGCAGGTCAGGAAGAAAGACCCTGTGCTGGGGGAGTAAAGTGGCTGCTGCCCACTAGGGTCTGGTGCCACCGTGGCTCTGTGCGGCCCGGCCTGGCATGGCGGCTGTCCCGTCAGAACGTGCACAGGGCAGAGCGGGCCCCAACAGAGAGACCAAAGTGAGGGCAGGGCGGGCCAAGTCAGAGCGAACAGCACTTGAAGTTGCACTTGGAGTTGTCTGAGGCTTGGACGGCAACTGTGGGAAAGTGGGATGGGAATGCTGATGGGGGAGCGGGGTCAAGCCCTCAACCACTGTGCTGCCTGCCTTGCTTAGAAGAGAAAAGCAGTAGAGAAGAAAAAAAGGAGACAAACCGAGAGAGGCCTCCAGAGGGGAGGGCGGGGCTGCCCCTGCCTGCGGCCCACTGAGGACCCTGGGGATCTCCGCCTTCAGTAGCGCAGTAACCGCAAACTGCAGTCCGCCCACGTGTCTGTGGTCCCCTGATGACAAGTCACACCTTCCCAGGCCACCTGCTGGGGCGTGGGTGGCACCCCATAAGGAAAAGTGGTGAAGTGCCACAGGTCTCACTCCAGACATGTAAACTGAGATACGCAGCACTTCTCCTGTTTAAAGACTAACTTGGGAAAAGGCAGTAAAGCCCCCAATGGACCCAGGCGCCTGTCCCATCTTGGTGTGGAAGCCTCTCTCTCTGCAACATGCCGAAACATGGATCCTTGAAGAACAAAGGCCCTGTGGACGTGCACGACACGGAGGAACGCCCGTGAGTGAGAGGGACGGTCACACTACCTTCGAGCATGGACAGCAGCATGACCACCATGTCCTTCTGGAGGTCCATGAGCTCTTTCAACAGCTCGATCTGACTGGAGTCCTGGAAACATTAACACAGTGCGTTGGAGAGAGAAGTCCCCGGGAAGAGCCTGCTCCACCGCAGCGCCCGCTGCAGCGTCCCAGACGGAAAGCCAGCTGCCAGCACGCTGCTCACCAAAAGCTCGCCCTGCTGCACAGAGAGCACCTGCAGTTGACTGCAACCCCGCCTGCTGACTCGGTCACACACAGGGAGACGGGGCCCAGGAAGGAAGGCAAGGCGGACTGGGTGGGGTGGGGGCGGGGCCGGGGGCGGGGCTGGGGCGGGGCCGGGGTGGGGCCTCCACAAGGGCAGACACAGGTGCCTTTGCACAGTCCACTCCTCTGCTACCTGAAAACTCTCTACAGCACTCGTTTTTCTTCTTTCTAACTTATTATATACAAAGATGGTGTATATTTTGTAAACATTAACTTATCTGGGAAAAAACAAGCATCTAAGTGATACAAAATAAACTTGTTTAACTTAAGTCAAACCAGAAATGGACGAGTGTTACCTACACTCACAGCATACAATGTACGTTACCTCTAAGTTTTATGACCCTCTCTGATACGTCTCTGTTAAAACCGCCTGGGTTTCTTTGTGTTTATTTTCACCATGAGAACACTATTGTACAGGGGTACACTGCATCTACACACCACCGTGCTTCGATTCAGGGCCTGGGGAGCATACTTATGTCCACACTGCAACCCCCTTGGGGTTTGCCACCCAGGAAGCTAGACTTCTACGCTGCCAGAAGAATGAGACACTTTCTTTCCAAACAGTTATGACCTCGACCGAGTCTCCAAACTGAGCAGCAATGGTGACCCGGCACCAGACGCTAAGAACATGTGGGAGTGCCTCACAGTGGAACCTGACTCATGAGCACACAACTAGACAGGGACACCGTTCTCCCCGACCCAGCGCGAGCCGGGCCTCTGTTCCACGTTGGGCTGACGAGACACGGACACGTGCTCACACAGCACTGGCTAGCCAGAGGCCGCATCCCTGGGGTGACCGGGCCCTGCTCCAAGGGCCTGTCTGGGAAGGCTCAAGGCTACCACAAATCGACACTTGTCCAGCTAACTCCCTCGGTGTCTATGGGCGGACAGCAGCCTACCTTCAGTGACTGCCATCTGGGTGGCTCGGCTGGGGGATGGGCCCTGGCTCACGTTGCATCCCCCGATGCTACAGGGTCCCTGATCCCTACCCCCTCACTCTCCCTCTGTAAGGCGCAGCCACCACTGTACAAACCAAAGTGGAGCTGAGCTCACTCTGGACTCTCTTCCCTGCTGCAGACTAAGATCTGTGCTGACCCCTGGAGGTGGCCCCCCTGTGCTGACCTCTGGCACTTCCCTCCTGCTGCAGGCCAGGCACAGGTGTGAGGGTCCACACTCAGCACAGGTAAAGGGGCTCAGGGAGGAAGAGCAGACCCATGCTCACGGGACAGGTGAGGGCCAATCTTCTGACTTGGAATGTAGCATTTTTCCCTCCGCCCAACACCTGGCACTGCAAAGAAACGCTACGTCCAAGACGTACAGTAACAATGTTTCTATTCGTATGTCTTAGGTTCAAATGAAATGGACACTGCAGTGAGAAAACCATGTTGACATTTTCAACATGAGCTCTCAAATTAACATTAAAAACATGGTGGACAATCTTATCCTTGTAGCTATGTTTTTCTCTTTGACTTTCATAAAGTTAAATTTCTGACTAGTGGGTAAAAACCAACTGTTGAGAACAGCTGCTTGTTTAGAAACTGGAAGAAAATCCAGTCCCTTCAACAAAGGACTTGCCGCAGATTTGAAATCCTTCCCCACTGCCCGCAGCGGGGTAGGGGCTTCCAGGGGTGACCACAGGGAGGTGGGGCTACGAAGGGACACAGCACACTCAAAGCCGAGGGACTGAACTGCCTTATGTCCCCATATATTCAAGTCTTTAAGATCTTTGGTTCTCAGACTGTGTAACAACGCCCATCTATTCTCAGCTTGCATAAAATTACTTTATTTATGAAAACATTCTTGAATGTACATCCAAAGCTGTCGAGGGAAGTGATCTAAGGAAGGCTGTACTGAAACCAAGGGACGCGTGCCCGATCTGCCTGGGACCACCGGCTGGCGCCGTGTGCGGGGTGGTGGGGCGCCCACCCTACCTGCGACAGCTTCATCTGCATGTGGGCGAACACGTGGAGGAAGCCCACGACGGCGTCCCAGAGCCGGCTGTGGGCCAGGCTCTGCTGGTTGCCGGTGCAGGGGCCCTGCGGGGAAACACACCAACAGTGAGGGGCAGGTCGGCGTCTCTCACCACATGTCACCTGGGAAGAGAACCCCGTGTGAGCCAAAGGTGAGCAGTGATGACAGAGAGAGGAGAGGCCCCCTCGAAAAGCTTAACACACTCAATCCCAAACAGTGCCTCAAGGCTTTTCATGTCCTGTTTCTGTATAAATCATAAAACACTGGCCAAAATGGTGAACGATTTCATTTCTGCCTGGCTTTGGGTCCCCTCTTTTAGAGCACATCCAGCCACGTCAGTCGGCACAGGGTTCCTTGTCTGCAAAGAACCTGAGTCACGTGTGGAAGGAGATCAGCACCTCTCGCTGCAGCCCGGTGCGGCGGCCTGGGCAAAGCACAGCGAGAGGAATCCTCGTCCGTGGGTCCTTCACGGCGCCGCTGCTCTGCAGCCACGCAGCTGTTGGCACTTCGGAAGACTGACAATGAGTGTGCGTGAAAAAGGGCTCTGTAATGAAACTGACGCCTTCAGTGTCAGGGAGACGCCTCACAGGGAGATCCGATCATAAAGCCCCGACTGGGCAGGTCCTGGCAGGGTCACACCCAGGCCTGGGACTTCCTCAGTGGGAGGCTCGTCTCCCCACAGGCCGCCCGTCCACTGCTCGCTCTCGGATCTGGGTGAACACACCTCTGCAACCAGACCCCTCTGGGGCTTAGCGACCCTGTACTGCAACCCCGCCTCTCTTTCTCCCACCTCATGTACTCTTCCTCCAGTTCCCCCCTTAACTCCAAAGGTATAAAAGAACCGCAAAACTGGCATTCTCCAGAGCATAAGATCTTGCTCCTGAACGTGCATCGTCTGCTGCAAATAAACTCTTAGAAATTTTTTCTACAGGTTTGGACATTTCTTTTGTCAACATTAATTATTAACTTCACTAGTTATTAGTCACTGACAAGCCCAGAGCCCAAGACAATCCACGTGTCCCTGCTCCACTCTCCAGGCCTACACCACAGCCTGTGGCCACGGGCTGTGGAGGCCGCGCCACTGCGGGCAGAAGAGCTGCACGCAGACAACGTCTAGTTTTACTCCCCAAGGAAAAGGATATGACCTCAAGGTCTTGTGAACATATCCACATCAACTGGAAAAACAAGTAATGGGGATTTTACTTTTCTACAGCAGCTCTTCATTTCCCATTTATTCATCCCTTTATACAAGTGACTCACAGTAAGTCTGCATCGGAGACCGCATCAAGACACCAGACTGCTCTGAGGAGAGTGACTGGAAAAGGTGACAGCCCTGCAGATGCTGACATGGGAACCTGTGCCGTCTCAGCTCCTGCTGAGGCCTGCAGCTCAGAACGATGTGATGTGACCAGGAGCTGAGTGGGTCTTCCAGCCCAAGGCTAGGAACAGGCTGAGGCTGAAAGGGCAGCGGCTAGGAAGAGTCCTCGGGCAGGCCTGACTCGCCACCCCTGCCCGGTTGGGGGTCGCAAGCTGCTGCTCCAGACCCAGACCAGGGACAGAGGAGGCCGCACGAGAACAAACCCAAGCTGAGTGTCCAAGGTCTGGTATTGGATTGTGTGGAAGACAGAGTGTGACAAAAAAAAAGATGTTTGTTTTATGGGCTACTCAGGAAGGAGCCCCCCTGCCCAAACATTGCCCCTGGAGACTGTCCAAAAGAGTGACGTGATTCCAAGGCAGACAGGCTGCCAGATGCAGTCTGTGGAAGGGTTTGAAACTGGGCAGGTAAAGAGGCATTTCCAGACCCTGGATGCAGCCAAGGGCAGGTGCCTGCAGGGAGACGCCTCCTCCCACAGGCACCTCCCAGAGGGGCCTGAGGCTGACCCTGGGGGGGCCAGGGGAGGGCAGAGCACGCCCCCCCCCAGGCCTGTCTACTGGAGGCCGTGAGGTCGGCCTAAGGGTGAGGGCGGGCTCTACGGTGGACAAGACCAAAGGGATGGTGACACTGCACTGCCAGCACAGAGAGACTCCGCTGGTGACAAAGCGACCAGGGGAATTTGTCTAGCTGAGAGTGACCAGGGCACAAGCTCCACTGGGACACTGGTGAAGGCCCGGCCCCCAGGGCCGTCTGGAGGGTGAGTGCTGGGAAGGAGTCAGGCCGGGTGGGCCTCCAGGGCGGCACGTTCATCCGCCCGGGGACCCGCGTGGTGCCTTCACAGTGACAGGCGCCCCGTTGGGCTGTGGGGAGGCTCTGGCTCCACAGCCCTGGACCTCCAGGGTTTCCCTGGCCACCCAGTCCAGGCCGGTGCCGGGTCACTGAACGCAGCCCAGGGACCCGGTGCACTCCGGCTCCACAGGTGCCCGTGCTGGGGGGAGCTATGGGCGCTCTTTGTGACCTCTCTGTATTGCTAACATTGCTCCAAAATAAGTTTTTATTGAAGTATGTACTTCAGAAGTGATTAATTTATATAACACACATAAACAAGGCAAACTAAGTTAAAAATAAGCAAGCCACGCCCCTGTCCCTGTCATCCCTGGCATGTTCATACAGACGAGTTAAAATAAAGAACTTTGCACATAATGAAAGGTTAAGGATGCTTGTAGCTTTATATAAATTCAGGAGTCTAACTTACATTAGGAATTAAGAAAGCCCAGGCTTGGCTGAACAGGCGTAGAAGTTTCGTTTATCACCTAGAAACCATTTTCCTAACGGTTTCTGTAAAATTCCCTGGCTAATGCCTTCAGTTGATCATAGTAAATCAGAATTGTTCCCACTGAACATGGATAATATCTTTGCAGACACACACGAGAACACTGAGGCTATAATGCAAGCCGGGGAGATAAGGCAATAGGCACAGGAGCGAACTGAAATGGATTTAAAATTTGCTTCGACTTGATCTGAGGTAAAGTTATGAGAGGTATCCTCTGCCGCTCTTCCATTGTGGAACGCCGGAACTGGGCTCCTCTTCTCCGCCCAGGGGAGGACAGAACAAGTGCGACACTGGCAGGGCAGAAGCAGAGCCCCCGGCCCCCACTGAGCCCCTCCTGCACGCAGTTCCGCCGCAGCCCCGGGACCCACGCTGACTCCGGGGACACAGCCGCTGTGTTTCCGTAACTCTCCCCAACAGGATCACGCTAGTCCAAGGCAGTGAACCACGAGCCCCCACCCCGTCTCTGCACATGGCCTCCCCAGCCTGGCGGCTCGCCGACGCAGAGCACGGCCGTCCATGCAGACGGACGGAAGGCGGGAAGGACAGAAGGCAGACTTGCCTTCTGGGACACAGCAGAGGTTTGCTGGTTGAAAAACCCCAAATTTTATAAAATCTTTTCAAAATCTGCAGGTTAAGACAAAATTAGCCTAAAGAGAATATAAAACAAACCAGTGTTTAAAATGGAGTCTTAGCTGTATCGTCATGAATGTATGATTACACACACACTAAAGTGCAGTTGGTTACTACTTGTCTCTTTTTCATGAAGTGTCCCTGAAACGCCCTCCTCACTTATACTGCAATGCCGTGGAGAATGCCTGCCCGCCCTCGATATTCCCAGAGAGCTTAACATGCACCAGACCCTGGAGAGCCAGCGCCCATACCACAGTTCACACCACCGAGGAGCGAGGGGGGCCCCAGCCTGCCGGTGGGCAAAGCAGTGTCCTTCCGTGTAAACGCACATCTCGACCCGATCTGTCAGTGAGCCTCATCTGGCTAAGCATCTGCAGGCGAGGGCCTTCACAGATGGGACAATGGCCAGGACACACGCGTGGCACTTTGCATTGTTCCGTGGAATTCCAGGCTAAGCAGCGGACTCTTTCTTTGTTCAAAGAGCAGAGCTGAATAAATGTTTACCTGAATGTACTCCGTGAGTGTGTTGAAGACTTGTTTTGCTACTTGAATGGCCTTGGAGAAGTTCCGTTGCCCTTGCTCGTCAATGACGTCTTTTCCAGAGTAGTACCAGTAGAAATCACTGATGGATTCCTGCGGAAGAGAGGCGGCAGGGTAAGGCATGCTCTGAAGCTGTCACAGGCCTGTCCAGTTTTGGACCCTCTCGTAGGAAATTGTTTCACAGGAGATTTGGGAGTGAGGAGAAATACCTGCGAAGTAAATACCATTCCCAACGCTTTTCCTAAGAAGCAATATGGCAGGATCGTCCCCTAGATATAAGGAACTACTGGAGAGCAGCAGCAGAAATCTTAGCTTTATGGCCTTCTGTCTCTGATGATCTTGAACTTCCCAAACACGAGGATGCGTAAGATGAATGCACATTTATCCCTTGATCAGTTAGGTGTTTTTTCTGTGTCAGCACGGAAACTAGGCGGATGGCGGCATGGTATTTTTGGGGTTACAGACACCTGGCCTCCTGCTTCTGCAACACAGCTGCTGACACTTCCCTGGTGAGAATGAGGATGTCCCTGCCTCTGTGACTGCCCCTGGCGACCCTGGCTGGACAGCTGGTAAATACTGACAACTGTGAGCAAACATCTGAATAAGATCAGTCTCTCCAGACAGGGAGTTGTCAACAATCACTTGCATTCTGAAGGAATTTCAGGCAGCTAAACAAATAACACAGCATAGCCTCATGTGCAAACTACTTTTGGGTTTTGAGACGGAACGTATAAAAAAGTCATACACATTTTCAGCAACTCTTCTTAATGTGCACATACGCTTCAAAAATAGGTGTTTTCCCCCACTAAGCTTTAAGTAAAAAAGTGTTTGGTTTTACACGCTCAGAAATTGAGGGGAAAACCCAAAGTCTGTGCAGTCTGCCCAAGCATGACCCTGGCTCCGACGCAATGCACAGGCCTTCCCTGCTCAGGGGCCCCCGCCTGCAGACACAGCAGAACAAACGTGTGAAGATCACCACCACACCAGAGGCTTTCTAAGCTGATTGAGTGTTTAGCTGAGTTTTGGAACTAATTCAAATACTAGGACAGCTGGAGAGACCTAGTGCAGAGTTATGGAATTCGGGTACATGGGTAGTTGGAAGCCTTTCTTTCCCATTCCTGGGAATGTTCTGAATGTTCTTCCCCTGTTCATCTATCACCTGCAGAAAAAGCTCAGCGTGTACATGCTTTAGAAAACAAAAATTAAATTCAAAATGCCCTCAAGCTAAAACACGTAGGGAAAAAACCCAAACTTAGAGAAATGAAACAATGAGCGAAGGAGAGCCCGGATCGGGGACAGAGAGACAAAGGTGGCCCCTTCTCCCAAAGGCTGACCAAAGGCAAAACACCTGGCCAGTCATGAACCGAAACACACCATGACCCGCCAGCTTGACACAGGAACCCGCTGTGTCGTTCCGCCAAGCAGCCCTTCCGCTTGGCGCCGGCGCGGACAAGCAGAGTACCTGAACCCGCAGCAGGTAGTCCACGGTGGAGATGATGATGTTGACCGTGGTGTTGTTGCCGGTCTGCGTCCTCAGATAGTTCTGAAAATCTGCACAAGACCAAAGGACGCCATTAAAGCTCATTCCAAAGTTTAAAATGACTTATTTGAACAACTCTACAGGCAAATGATGTCTCCAGCAAAACTGTTGTGGCTAAGAATAGCTGTACTATGACATAGTTCACACTGCCCATAAAAAAGTGAGTGACCTCCCCATAAGCCTATCTGGGCGCTCCACAGAACAGAGACACTCAGTTCTGTCCAGGAGACAGCCAGCACGATTGCTAATTCCTTGCTCTAGGGCCCCGGGCAAGGGGCCAGGAAAGGATCCCACCTTTTAGAGACACTGATTACATTACTCGGTAGCCCTTTCTCTTTTTAAAAATTATTTTTTTTTACTTTTTAAAATTGCTATTCAATTGTAGTTGTCCCCATTCCCCCCCATTACTCTCCCCTGCCCTACCTGCCCCTCCACCTCCCACATTCAATCCCCCCCCCCACTGTCCTTGTCCATGGGTCCTTTATACATGCTCCTTGACTTGGTCCTTCCCCTTCTTTCTCCTACTGTGCCCCTCTCCCCTCCCCTTTGTCACTCTGTTTGTTCTTTATTTCCATGTCGCTGGTTCTGTTTTGCTTGCTTGTTTCGTTGAATAGGTTCCCCTTATAGGTGAGATCATATGGTATTTGTCTTTTCTTCCTGAAGACTGTGCTCCGTGATGGGGAGACAGAAAGGAAATCCCAGCTCACTCCCGTCCCACTGGACACAGCAGCGGGGCAGAGCTGGGTTCATCAACAGTAGGCGGAAATGTTACAGTCTGGGATGCCATGGGCACCTTCCCCAGGTACAGAGAAGGGGCACAAGAGAGCAAAGCTACATATTTCTCTATATCTCTTTCACCTGCTGCCTGTCTCCTCCAACCTAGGAGCAACTCGTGAGAACTAGTGAAGTGCTACAAAGGACTCTGAAGCAGCAATGAGTGTGTGACATGTCGCGCAGGGCCAGTGCCCGCCCACAACCCAGTGCTCAGGGGCTGGCTGCGGGCTGCGGGCTGCCGGGGGGAGCCGACCGGGGAACTGACGGCCTCTGTCATTACTGGCTTCAAACACAGATTCCTGGGAACCACCACCCGCCTCAGGTCTCACACACCTGAGTTGTGTCCCTCGCACAGCAGTTGCAGGAAGCGGAAGAGGTCACAGGTGAACTCGTCATCCTGAAGAACCTTCTCTCCTGCAGGGAAGTGCAGATGTCATCAACCGCCTGAGCCAGCGTGCCCGCCCGCCGTCCCCACCTGCGCCACACTTGCATGTGGGTCTCCACGGTTCCAAACGGAAGCAGTCCCAGGTCATGGCCACTCCTCTATCTGAAGCCCATACGGCCATGCGCTTGGCAGATAGATGCACATTTTCTTTGTCAGAAAAGAACATTTGAATCTCAACACTCAGATTTTTCTCTGTCAAAAGTAGCAGCATGGGTTTGGCAACATTTTAGAAATGACCTGAAGATTTAAGCTTTTTTCCTTCTTTCTTTTTTTTTTTTATAGATGTGTACAGAAATGATTTCTGCACCTAGCACAAATATTAAAGTTAAAACTGCGCACTCTGCAACATTAAAAACTAAGCATATTTACTTAGGCTGGGCAAGGATGACGCCATAGAAAGGACTCAGGTAGTCTACCTAACACTCCAATTGAATGTACCTTTGTCACAAACTACTCTGAAAGCAAAAACATAAGAAACAAACACACAAAAACCATCACCACATGAATGCAGGCTGATTTTAAAAGCAAAAAGTGTCAGTGAAAAAATGTTCAACATATGAGTGTATGCTCTGGAATCTAAATTAGTTTAAAAAGCAAAATGACAAAAAAATGTTGTCTGGCAAGTGAATGAATGCACGTAAGCACTGAAAAATAATAACAACAGATCCTGGGCCTGGGGGTACTTTGGGTCAAAAAGAACAGGATGTGATGGTCATGGTCACGTGTGCACTGGAACGGAAGTGGGGGTGGGAGAAATGACGGTGCCGATGGACTTACCAGTCTGCAGTCTGTGACTTTCAAAGTGACAGGCTTCACACAATGGAAGGGTTAGGAGGCAAAACCATTTTGAAAACTAATATAAGCATTTAAAAAAGTACATGATATCACTGTACTGGTGCCCCGGTGAGCCTGTAAGACACGATCTTTGGTGACCAGATTGAAGCCACCAGGTGCACAAATTGGCCCCGTGGAAAGTCCTCAAGCTAAACTCACGTGGTCCTCATTACTTGGCTGATGAGCCCATTCCTCCGTGTGCAGTTCATGACACTACAGGAAAGGGGGACCAGTCTGGGCCGACAGACGGCACTGCCCGCTGATAATACTCATGATCGTTCCATGAGCTTTTTCAATCAGAGGGGTCTTTAAAATGATCCTTAAAATATTAGCAGTTGGTTCCATTGAGTTATTGATGCTTCTGAGCCCATCTAAAGTGCTTTTCCCCCAGAAAATCAAATCAGTAAACCACATACATTCTCTCAGTGTTCACATATTCAATGTGGAACGAGTGACCCTCGACAGAAAGTGCTCAGAACAGTTGACGTGGAAATAAATACCACGTAGGCTACCAGTGGACCTGAAAATGCCCACTCTGCACACTGGTTCACAGCATGAGGTCTGGCCGCGGCTGGCAGGCACGGCGTCTTCTCGACTGTGCGCACACACCAAACCTGTAACCTCACCTACGTGAGGGCACACTGCACGCAGCAGAGCCATGTGGGGCGGGAGGATGAGACCTCCACCCCCAGTGAACCAGGTGCAAAGGGCACGATGCACACATCTGCATCTGGTTAAAATGCTGCCACGGCCCATGCTGCAGGGGGAGGGCAGCCAGACGGGGTGACGGCTTTATGTCTGCAGGAGGCACAGGAGAACAGCCCACAGGGTGACAGGGGTGACAGAAAGGGCACCGGACGGTGGACACCGAGGTTGATGACAAGTAATGAGACGGAGCGACATGGAGTTAGAAGTGCTCCTACCTTCGTACAGTGGGGTTTGTGATGGCTGTGTGATGCCCGACATGACGGCTGTGAAGGGCTTTCCTTTGCCTCTGTCTAGTTATGGGGGCTCAGGACTCCTAATTCCGTAGGAAAGGGGGAGTCACTGCAACGTCACTGCTGATGACCGGCTGGCTCTCTGGGCCTCAGTTTTCTCCTCTAGTAAGTGAGGACAATGTGTAGGGTCACCTCACTGGCTCTCTGTCACCCACAGGACCATTTTCACACTTGTGGGAAGCTCTGTATTAGGAGCAGTGGCAGAAACACAACAGAAAGGAATGGCCTGCCTAGGTGATGTGTAGTTGCTTGAACATAGTCAGTAGGTGTGTTTGTATTTTCAGAAAGCCATCTTCATTTTACTGGACCAAGATACTCTCAAAAATATAAATTTTCACTTTGAAATGATGTTAGGTAGACTTTATTTATTCAAGCAGCCACTAACTACTAAGTCCTACTTTAGAGATCTAACAAAGTTAATATTCTTGAAGACCACTGTCCTACTCACAATTGGTTTATCCCATTAAAGTATTGACTTAGAGTAGCCATCGTCACAGATCAAAGTTTGTGGCCTTCTGTCCAGACAAAGCTTAGTTTAATTGTTCTTAACTGTTAAAAATTAATTGTCAGTAGTCGTTAATAAAATAAATGGAGTAAGTAAAAAGACCGCCTAGTGTGCACACAAAACAGAATCAGGGCGAACAGAGCTGAGAGGAGGGAGCTCCCGTGGCTGCAGCCCCGCCCACGGTCAGGTCCACGGTGATGTCCACAGTGCTGCAGAGCTGGGGGGCGGCCACACCGGGGCCCCTCGCGGCTGTGGGGGTGATTCTCATCACTGATCTTAAGAGGGCTAACTATCTACTTTGTGTCATGCAACACTGAAGAATGAGGGCCAGCAGGATTTTTATAGAGAAACAAGTCTGGTGTTTGATTCCGAGGGGCTGGCTTCAACGTCACTGCTTAAATGGCCCGAACACGGCTGCTCAAAGGGCACCGCAACTCAGCTGACAGACAGTGCTCCCCAGCCCGCGTCTGGGCAGTGACTGTGGTGTGCTAGGCATCGTGCTGGGTGCGCTTCCCCATCGCTTCACCTCGGGTGCACGGCGATCCGCGGGACGTGCATCCCACTCTGTGCTGCAGTGAACGCCCGAGAAATTCAGGAGCTTGGCTAATGACCTCCAGCCGTCAGCTGCAGGTCATGGGTTTGAGCCCAGTGAACTTGAACAAAAGCTCATCGGGTGTCCTCTCATGCCGAGCACCTTGTGAGGTCCTGGGGATTACGGACTAACGGACATGACCTCAAGAGTCTACAGTCCCAGGGGGGAGACAAGCGATGACAGGTCACTTCAATATTACAAGGCCTTTCAGATCCCACTGGGCCACAGTCTCTAAACTTCGAGATGGCTCCTGAGTAGGAGGCAGAGTCTTTGGCCAGCAACCTTTGACCACACACTGGTCGCTACTTAGCGAGTGAGCTCCTGCTTGTTTTCGCCCATTTGAGAAGCCCAGGAATACGTGTGCTGGAAGCGTGGCTCTGGAAAGCTGCCTCACCGTTCCAGCCTGGATTTCATCCCGGGGGGCTTAGCAGTCCTGACCTCCTCACTCAGGGGGCTGCTGGGGGAGTCAAAGTGGTTCCAAAAGCAAAACCGCTTTGGAATGTGCAAATCACAACAGGAATAAACGTAAAGTTCACAAAAACTGTATTTCTAAATACAGGACTTCCATGGCTGCGGGCATGATACACAATCCGTAAGTTCCATTGAGAGCGGCTGTACAAATGAAGGCAACACCCTGACACCAGTGCACACACTGAATCCCCTTCTCGAATCCCGAAACAGTGAAAACAAGAGTGGCTGCCGTGTGAAACAAATGAGTGTGCCCCACGGCTGAGATGAACGTGCACAGCAGCTGCGGAGCGAACGTCCCTTTGCCTTCAAATGGGATCTGCGGTGCTTCCCCGTAACCTTCTCTTGCTGCCTCTCCGCACTCGTGACCAACTGCAACCCTGGCTGCCCTTCCTCCATCCCACACATCAGCGTCCTGACTGCGCCGAGGCCTTCAGACTCAACGCCCACCTCACACCAGGCTGCCCCCCACGGCGGGGAGCAATCAGGCCGCAGGGCCTCGATCGGCAACAGGGAAGTCCACTCTCCAGAACTCCCTGCAGCCTGTCAGTCAGGATAACCTTGGCCCCCACAGCGCTGAGAAAGCCACCCTGGCCCCCCCTGCTGCAGGGCCGAGTCCGCTTGGCTCAGGAGCCTCTCTGAGAAATGGGGAATAGTCTGCAGGGTGAGTACGTCCCACTGGACTCATGCTTTGGACACTGGATGCTAGGAATTTCATTCCAGGTCCATCCCCACATGATCACAGGATCGCTTTAGTGATGCCCACAGCCTCAGAAGGACAGTGCAGATTCCTGGGCGGGCACGGAAGGCCCCTCGCGGCCTCCCACCCACCACCCATGCCCCCTCAGCCACGCTGGGGGTCCCGTTCCTGACACGCTCAGCACAGCTCTTCTGTCCCCTGGGGGGCCTCTCTCCACCTTCCCCTCCCCCAGGCCGCCCTGACTCCGTGTGAGACACCCCAGGAGCAACCACGCGACTCCACCCCCTCAGGCGTGCTGCATCCTGCTGAGGCTGTTTGTTTACAAGTCTCTGGACATAACCCTGAGCTCCAGAAGAACTCCGACGCCCCGAACAGAGCCTAGCACTGCACAGCCACTCACGGGGGTGTAAGCCCTCCTCGGCAAGGGCAGGTGGCTGCGCTGGCCTGCCGCTGCCAGGGAGCCCCAAGAGCCAGGCCTGGGGGACAGTGGCAGAGTCTCGGCGGGCCAGCGCCCCCAGGCTGCTCCAGCATCCTCGTGAGGAGTTGATAAAAAACAACACTCTGTACTGCAGCTCACACTGCAACAATACCCATAAGGGCTGGTGGAGAGTCAGGAGGGTCAGCTGGCAGCTCATGTGTTACGTAAACTTTGTATATATAAACCAAGCAGTGTCTGGGGAATCAGACCAGCTCCCCAACTCCCTTTGCTCTGAAGGCCCCGGCCGGGCAGAGTGAGCAGCAGTGAGATGGGACAGCTCCTCTCAGACCAGGAGGTCGGACAGGAGGGCGGCCGCACACTCAGGCTCAGCATGATACATTGTAGCGATGAGGCTACATGGCTCTGAGGAAAAACAAATTAGAAACCCAAAGAGGGGATGAGATGTTAAATATCCATACAGGTTTTGTTTTTTATTTTTTGCTTTGAATGCCATTATATGTTGAAAGAGAACAGATATGACTAAAACACATACGGAGAAGACAATGTGGATCACATCGCAAGTCTACAAATCTATGGGACACACTTGCTGAAAAAATACGTGTGGGTTTTTTAGTTGTTTCTGGTGTTTTAAACACAAGTGGGATGTCCAGGCTTCTGTAGAAACGGGGAATTTAGCTAATGAGGGTGAGGACCCCAGGCCGACATGACAGTGACAGCAATGGAAAAGGAACAGCCACCAACAGTCTGAAATCTTCACGTACAGGCCTGCAAGAAACAGAAGTTTCCTAGTGGAGTCTCAACGCCAGAGGAGGGACACCACTTTCACCACAGAAAGGTCAACAGTGGTTCTAAGACTTCCACAGTCATTGCAACGACTGGCAACCAGTTGGGGTCTTTGAAAGGAATAACCAACAGGTAATGGGACAGAAGGCGCCACCCCAGACAGGACACTGGGTGGCGGATGGGCGAGGGGCTTGGCTCATGGGCCTGGAGTTAACCTGTGGGAAGCGGGACGCCTGCATTCTTGCCCTCAGTCGGCAGGACGTGGGACGAGCCACGGGACTTGTGTGCCTCAGTCTCCTTCCTCATCAGCAAAGTGCACGTCACCTGCTGGAGGGCTGTGGGTGGGGCCTGGGGCGTGTATGTGTTCAAGTTGGAGCCCTTCTATCATTATCTGGGAGACACGGCCGCGGAAACCCAGGTCAGACGAGAGGCGTCAGCTCCGGGAGTAAATGTTCTCGGCGCCTCAAACCCAGAAGCAATGCCGTCAGCGCCAGGCTTTGACTCCCCGGGCTTTTCCACACGCCGTTCCAAAGGAAAGATCGACTTTCCTTCTAGGAGGCCATGGCTGTGCCTTAACCTTTGTAGAATATCAAAAGAATGGCCACGTAATGCATTTTTAAAGTAGGCCAAACGCAGAGTCGCTTTAGCTAGCCTTAGTGTGAAAACAGGTGTCACCTCTTCCCTTCGTTATTTCCACTGTCCAGTAGGTCTTTTAGAGGCTGTTTGAAACCCCAGTGCCATCTTTGTTACTCTCTGACTTTGGAGAGTCAATATTCCTACTATCCTAGTGTTCTCTGAATTCAGTTTCAAGGCTAAAAGTTAGTTTTTATGTTAAAAAGGTTTTTAACAAGTGGTCGTCTCAAAGGACTAGAGAAAACCTGCCACCCTCAGTGTGGAGGGGAACCTGGGCAGCAGTGGGGTGCAGCCCGGCCCGCCCACGTGCCCACCGATTTCCGGTGCTCCCACGGGCCAGCCATAAAGCCGGTGTGTCCCCGACAGAGACACCACAGGGGGGCGCTGCACACACCCAGGTGCATTCAGTTCCACATCGGTCACAAACACTGGGTCCACCAGAATTTTTAAAATTAAAGAAACAGAACATAACACATCCAAAAACATAAAACTTATATGCTTCTTGCCTCTCCATGTCTAATATTTTAATAACTGAGTACCCTCACAAAAAAGAAAAAGAAGGAGAGCCTTGGTACATACATTTAAAAATAACAGGATGCATAATAGTAGATATTAAATAATCTACTTGTTAAAATGGTCTATGAAAGGAAAGATGCACACAGATTGTCACTAGCAAGGCTGCGCACAAATCTAGCATGAAATCAAGAAGCAAAGAAGTGAAAGCCAGCTCGTTTTTAATAGTTACCATGCTCATGAGTGATGGCTGAGGGAGGACAGTGCATTGACAGTAGTTGAAAGAAAAGGAAATGGGGAAGAAGAACAGGTGAGATGTTGGTTTGGTTTTGCTGTTTGTAAGGAAATACAATAGAAAACATGTTAATCGATTCGGGCGGTTATTTTGGGGGGTGTGTTGAATCAGCACAGACAACGCAAAGCGACCCCACAGGGAGAGAAGTAGAAATTCTCACGTCAGAGTGGTCGCTCCCACCCAGTTTCTGACGGGGGGTCACAAGTGCTACCCCAATCCAGTCTGGCTGACAACAAACAGGACACCCAGGAACGCAACCTGGGCCACCGCCAGTCCCTCGTGGGAGCCGACAGGGACAGTGCTAAGGGTGACTCCTGAGACTGCATTCCAGACTACGGAACACTGAGTAGGAACTTCGAGGAAAACTGAAAGATTTCTAATTCCAAAATAAGGAAGTCAGACTTTGTACAGAGAACTCATTTTTAGGCACTTTACACTGAAAAGTGCCCCAAATTTGGGTGAGACAAGCAGGCCCGCAGGCCGGAGATTGTGACGATTGGCACAAACAGGAAGAAGTCGTTCCTTGGTATTGAGAAAACCTAAGCACGTTGCTGCCAGTGATTTTTCTTCAAGGTGGCGAACACAGTTAAGTTGCAGTATGACTGACGCTTGGTGAGGGAACCTGCACACTCAGCTGCCAGGCAGAAAATGAAGTCACACTGCAGCAAGCAGACTACAAATGCAGATGAGAGGAAATTTATTTTCTGCAGCAAGACTAGTTTTATAGAAGACTCGGTGCTCCAAACCTCATACACTGACAAGATAACTCCAAACCTGACCAAAGACAGATAAATGCATAAGGCCTCCCTGAAACGAGTTTAAATTAAGACACAAAAGAATAAAATTGAATCAAAACAAAAATATTGATTTCTCTTAATAAATATTAAAATGAATGTGCAACAATAGGTCTTTTTGCTTTAACTGCACTGTGCGCTAACTTTTCTAGTTTATATATGTATCTAGTTATAGAGAGAAAAACTCAAGAATATGTGGATCATTTTTGTGCACAGGTGGATTATCTGAACAAATATTACTCTTTAAGGTCTTTCAGCAGAGAATCTGAACCTGCGAAGACAGCTGGATCCGTGAGCTATAGGACCACTGTGCTAGGGAGGGGATGGGGGGCAGGGAGCTATGGGGGCCGGAAAGCCTGCTTGCTGGTGCCCCATTCTCTCACCTGGATCATCTATGAGCTTCCTCATTTTGTGGGTAATTCTCTAATAAGCGTCTTTTTCTACCATGCAACCAGGGGTCAGGCCACAACGGGAGACGTGGAGCAGTAAGGAGAGGATGACCTCATGTAAGGCTGGGTTTGGGTGTGACCTGTGAGTGCCCCATTAGGGGCTTTTAAATGAATCACATGAGCATTCTGTCCATTTGAAGATAACTCACACCCTTCCGTCCTGACGAGGTGGTGGCTAGCTGGCCCATGTCGGGAAGGCAGGGGCACAGGTGGCCCTGTTAACTTAAGTAAAATCAATACCTGATCCTTCCTCGGTCACCATTCCAAGTCCTTCAGCTTTGTTCTGCCGCTCAAACGCATTCAGGTCGAGGACACTGCAGCGACAGGAAGAGAAGCACCCAGCAACGCTACACCAAATCTTCTTTCCTCACAAGAGCCAGTGTCTGAAACTGCATCTCTTGAAACGTGAACCAAATGGTAACGTACACTGGGACACACCCCAGTCCCATGCCTGCCAGCCCTGTTTCCTGGTGGCGGACCGGCCTCTCGCCAGGCCGAGGGGGCAAACGACCCTCGGAAGGGCAAGTGCAAGGCCCCGGGGGGTCTCAACTTGGGAGTGCATCAGAGAGGTGGCAGACGCACTTAAATGTAATTATAGTGACCGTGGTTTTCCAGGTGGGAAAGCTTGTCACATTAACTGGATGTCACGTACCTTCGTCAAATGCCTGAATAATTTTAAATGTCATAAAAATAGAAAGTAATTACCATAAATTAACTGGTTAAGGACCACTTATTTAGGAAAAGTGAGAAATGGTTCACAGGCTCCCAAATAAAACTAAACAGAATTTTCATTTTTCTCTTTTAAAAATCATACACCATTCATTCAAGGATGCACAATGCACATTAATTTTTCAAGGTCCCTATTTGAGCACAGGGGAGATTATTCTAATAATTATTAACAGTGATAAATTTAGCAATTAAAATGTTACTAACACCTAACACTAAGGCAGAAAGTAAAACAGCCACTTTCGCTCCCCTTTAAAGCATGTTTAACCATTGAAAGACCTCCTGTGTATAACGACTGTCCAGAGTGTAAGACACGCACTCTGAAAGGTGCCCGCCCCCCCGAGCGGGAATGGAGACAGGTATGCACTCACCTGCAGGACTGCATCAGGCCTGCCAGGCTCTGGAAGAAGCCCACGTCCTTCTTCTCCTTGAGGTAGTCGAGCATTTTCTACAGTAAACACAAACCACAAGGCCACTGAGCCCGACTCTTGTTACTGGTGAGTAAAAAAACAACAAAAGTGTGCCTCCTACTGTGAAATAAAGACAACATGATATTCAGTGCACACAGGTACTGCCAGTGTCACCTTCCCCACGAAACGGTGGCCGCGCGTCCCAGCCAGAGAGTGGTCCAAGTCTGCGTGCGGCACAGGGACAGGGCTCGGAGCAGGGCGCTGCTTTGCTGAGCCCCAGGAACATCATACACATAGGGGGAGTCACCCTTCATCCTCTCCTCATCTCTACTGGAGTCTCTGGAGATTCAGATGCTTTGAGTTCACTGGGAAGAAGGGCTGCTGGTTGCCAGTCACAGGCTCCATGGGAAAGTGCGGCCCCTGAGCCCCTGAGCAGAGCTGTGACGGCCGTGTGCTGGCGGCTTGGACGGAAGCCCGGTTTCCATTAGCATGGTCTCCAGCCCAGGCCTGGTGGGAATCATCTCACTCTTGAATCTTTCTCCTCTGTCCTCAGAGTGATGCCTGGACGCTGGGGTTGAACACAGTGTGACAGAGCTCGCCGCTGCGCATCGACATGGAGCTGCTTCCCAGAGGCGGCAATGCGCACCGGAGGCTTCACACAGGCAAACACAGGGCGGTGAGACGACCGGAGGCGCACCAAGGCTCCGGAAAAGAGAGAGTGCTGATCTTTTCCAAATTTTGAAAAGGGAATCATTCCCGTGACTCATGCTGTTCACATTGGGCTCAGCTAAACCGTCAAAATTTCGGTAGTGATCTTTTTTCAGAAATCAGAGTCAGAGGTAATATGAAATTAAATATGTAAAAGCTGCATAGAAACACATATATGTGAGTACATATGCATTATATACCTACACACAGGTATGTATACACACACCTGTAGACACGTGTACACGTGTAATGGTACATGTGCACATAGCCATACACGTCCTCGCATATCTTGTGCCTACACGTGTGTATGACTATAGACATACACGCACATGCATGGTATACACATATACAAGCACGTGTGTGCACACAGCCCTGTATGTGCATGCATGTGTGCCTCACATGTCCCTATATATGCTTGTGTGTTTATCTGAACATGTGTGTGGGTATATGCATATGCCTACCTACACATATTTACACACCCACATAGCTATACACACAGAGATGCACAAAACACAAAGCCACTTGGGGTTGAGGAGGGTGTTGATAAGTTATTGGTCTAATCAAACATGAAGCACTTATTACTCATTGGTCTCTTAAAACATATATGGCTTTGAGGGTCAAAGGGAGATGACAGAATATATATCTAAAGGCTTAGAGAGAAAGGATAAATCTGTGGAAACAGCAAGGACATACAAGGGTTGACAGAAGTAGGTGTACAATTGTGAGTACATAAAACAGAGTTTATTCTTATGTTACTCAATGGTTGTAATTTTCCATATGATGTTCTCTTGGCTGCAAGAATTTCTCAATATGTGTACTATACCATTAAGTTCTTTTCAAGTACAACACAAAGCAAGAGAAATTATTTGACAAATATTGTGGAGAGATTAGGCAGGTTTTCTTTTTTTCCTTTTCTTAAAGTCACACAGTCATTCACTATGGAAATCCAAAAAAGGGTATGCATACGTTGGATGGGAAAAAAGATCTCTATTTTCCCTACATTCTAACTGAAACGTGGCATCCCTTCCAACTAGCGGCCCACGCACAACACCAGAGCGTCGGTGGTCACTGCCGTGCCACTGACGGAGACTCCGGGCACTCCCTGCACATGTCACAGCCGGTACCGCTATTTCAAAATATTCAGACTGATCATTTCTCCTCGATTCTTATTAGACCAAGGACTAGATCTTGTACTTAAAGAATTCATAAACATATCATTTTATAGGAAACTTGTTTTGTTAGCACTGGGTGACCTCATTTCAATGCATTTGGCTTCCCTGGCACACCTGTGCAGTTCCACTTCATGTGTTTGCACACACCACACAGATGGAGTTCGGGAATCACTGAACCGCTGGAGGTGGTACGCAGGCAGAGCTGGGAACAGGATTGGACGGCGCCTGGGCCCACTCCCGGCCCTCAAGGGCAATGATTGTATTTCACAGAACAAAGTGGGCAACTTGAGAAAAATGTGCAGATGAGTTTCTCTGCTACACTGCATTGCTGCTTAACCTGGTCCAAACTTCACCAAATTTTCTCAGCTTCACTTTCCTTAGACTCCAGGATCTTCTGGCAGCACATTTAGGGCCTTTCTCAGGGTGGTGATTCTGAGGCTCACAGCAACCCGACGTCAAACATTCAAAGGATTTCATTAGCCTTTCTTTCCTCCTACCAGGTAGCCCTTCACCTGCCTCACAAAAACTCACCCGAGAAAGAATGGTTATTAGTCCCATGCTCATTAGCCATTCTTTCTCCTACAGATGCCAAAATATAAAAATAAGAGATTTTAACTTTACAATAACACAATCTGCTACTTAAACCATGTTGTTTTGCTGTTTTTCATTAGCATAAGAACTTTTGGGTCCAAGTTTAGGACCCCCCTGTAGCCCTGTGATGGTGGCCCGAGGTGTGCGGCACACAGCATGTGACAATCTGTTTCTGACGATTATTTTGAGTCACTCAAGTTCCCTCATTTTAATGAGCTCCCAGACTCTGGCCTTCAGATGTCATCCTTTGTCGCCCTAGTTGAAGTTACTGAAACCTCAGCCCAAACCATGTCTAACTTTTAGACAGAAGATAGCTCAAAACTTGAGCTATCCAAGACAGAAGATAACCAAACTTTTGGTTAAAAAGTGACTTTTTCCCATTTCTGTGGAGGAGGCTAGAAATAATCACAACTAAAATAATTCCTGACGGTGCATTCTGTGTGTGTGCTGGCTGAGGAACACACTTCCCACCAAACACACAACTAAACCCAGGTAGTCGCCTGCCGGGAGCTGTGACCTGACGCAGCACATCCCCCCACCGGGCCACAGAGAATTGACCTTCACTATGAAACCCTCCAGCCAGTGCTGGCAGGCCCCTGGAGTGAGCACTGCAGGTGACGATGCCACATGTGTGACTTAAGATTCTAAAGAGTTGGTGTCCCAGGAAATATTTGGATGTGGAACAAGGTGACCATAGATAAAGACGTATTTCATATATAAACTAAAATGCCCTGCAATTAGCAGTGCTTTTAGAATGACTCAAGTAGTCCAGCAAGTGGACTCCATGGTCCACTGCTGAAAGGTGCATCATGGGAGCGGCTTGCAGACATTACCTGCTGGACTGTGGAGTTGCCGCCGTTTAGGATAGCAATGCCAAGTTTCAGAGTAGCAGCCACCATCGGTCCGGTCTCCCCTGTGGAGTATAAACAACAGTGTTCCGGACATTAGCCTGTTCTACCTCAAAATGTGCCCTTTCAAAATTATTCCCACCCCTACAAATCTCTATGATGGTGGAAGGGGACAGATTGATGTACATACCCAAAAAGATATTTTAAAAGTAATAATGCATATTTTGCCATCAATGTTTTATCAAATTTTGGATAATACAGACAGAACTAAAACTATGTGAGGACAGATTTTAAAAGCTATGAAAAAAACTATTGATTTTGAACTACTGAGACCTAAAATTATTAAAATTCAAAACTGTCTATTAAAATAACATTGAAATTCATATAAGCCACTTAAAGTTTTCCATAAGGAAAACACACTCCCTTACCCCATCCACAATTTTGTGTTTGAGCAACTTTCATGAGTTTCATTTCATCACTTTCACTTAGCACGTTACAGCTTAGTTCTGTGAGGATGGCTAGTACCAGTCTGAGGTTATTCAATTAATAATGGCAAAACTGTAAATCCAACTATAATATACTATCATATAGTATATTTTATTTCATGTTAGTCACCTTCACTTTAATCTTAGAGCTAGAAATAACCTCCATATTTAGAGTGTGCCACCATTAATTTTCCATCCTATCATGAATTATAGTAAAAATGTTTTCAAAAATGAAATATTATTAATGTAAGGAAAATCATCCTGAAATGGCTAGCTACTAAAAATATAATAGCAGCACTACTTTAATTGTTAAAAAGGACTCACTTTATTTTTTTAAAGATTTTTATTTATTTATTTTTAGAGAGGGGAAGGGAGGGAGAAAGAGAGAGAAAGAAACATCAACGTGTGGTTGCTTCCCATGTGACCCCCACTGGGGAACTGGCCTGCAACCCAGGCCTGTGCCCTGACTGGGAATCGAACCTACAACCCTTTGGTTCGCAGCCCATGCTCAATCTACTGAGCTATGCCAGCCAGGGCAGGACTCACTTTAAAAGCCTACACTTTTCTATCAAAGATCTGCAAACTGGGGCCTGAAGGCCAAACCCAGCTTGTCACAGGTTTTTGTAAATAAAGTTTTTATTGAAACACAGCCACAGCATTCGCTTCCACAGTGCCTGCAGCTGCTTTCCCGCTGTTGTGACAAAGACCATGCGGGCACAATGCTGAGAGTACCCCGGGCCCCTCCCGGGGAACGTCTGCCACCTGGCTAGTATGAGCAGCTCACTAGAGGTGGGTCACAGTAGAATTTCCAAAACTTCTTGAGTAGAAATAAAACACACCTTTAAAAAAGACTCTGAAACAAGAGTCAAGACTGCCCTGAGTAAAGATGGTCTCACGTCCATTCTGTCACCGACCGGACACGACCCAGAAACTCGGGCGCTGGGCGGGTCAGTGGGCCTGACCGAGGGAGGGCTCCCTGGGAAAGGGAAGACGCCGTGCGGCCGCGGGCTCACCTTTGCTGGCGCTGATCGTCTGCAGCACCATCTCAGCGGCGCCACGCTCGTGCAGCCGGGCCTGCTGGTACAGAAGCTTCTGCTTCTCCATCTCCTTCTCCTGAACACAAATCCCAATCGTTTATGTTGTGGCCATCAGTCAGCAGAGCAGCTTCTATAAATCACACTTTTAGTCATCTCTTCATGTACGGGCTCTATGGCAACATCACAGACCATTTCGACACCAACACTGCTATTTACATAGATGTTCACATATTCGAGTCTTGGGTTTTAAGTCAGCTGGTTTACCAGGAATGGATTGTCTCAATTTTAATGATTTGATTAGTCCAAAGCCTGCACCATAGTTTGGCAGTAGCTGTACTTTGCCATCGAAACTTGCACTTTCTGAGTTACACATTTGTGCATGTTTGTCACATTAGAATAATCTCCCGTGTCATGGCCATGACTTGATACTGCTCAGCAAACGGCTCGGGTTGCAAGGTACCACTGAATGACAGAGCCACGTTCACTGAGACGTGCTAGAGCTTAAGCAGAACTGAAAGCTGAGATGGGTAAAAAGTAGGCTTCGACTAAGCAGCAGACTTAGGAGAGAGCTCTCCCCGGGCCGCCCCCCCAGACTAAAGCAGCCCTGTGCCTTTATATTTTGTGCTCTCTGGTGGCAACAAACAATGCTGCATGGTGCTGCTGGGCGATGGCTGCAGTTGGGTCTGTGCCACTCAAGCTACCACTGAAAACGTAAAGAAGAAAATAAAGGGAAAGAAAATATAAAGGCACAGCAAGTTCAAGACTGGAAGAATCATTCACTTGAGCTGTCCAGTTCGCTGGAGAATTGAGGCGGGACTAAGCAGTATAAGTTGCAGAATGAAAGTTGCATAGAGCCCTGTGACAGCGAGTCCATCAATGGCGTGGTAGAGAAGCTTAGTCGATGGACATGAAACGCTCAGTTAGTGTCATGTCCGTAAACACAACGGCCAAAACACACGTGACCTCAGAGCAGGAGGAGCTGCAGCAGAGGGGACCGCTTTGCTGCCATAAACTTTCCATCAAAGTTCGGCAGAGACACTGGAAGATGGAAGAGGTTTAAAAAATGAAGGCTTGCTGGTTACAGAGTATGAAAAATAAATAAACTCAAAGGAGGGGGAAGAAATGGGCTCAAACGAATGAAAAAAGAAACCTTTAAACCAAAAGCAACCAACACAGACATCAATGCTGTTACCAGAGAGTTCTCTCCGATGCTGGCAAAATTGTTTCTTAAATCTTTGATAATATCGTGCTGCGAAAACAAAATCGATCAGGGTTTTTTTCACACTATAGTTAGAGCGCCTGCGGTTAAATTTTTATTTTTTCTTAAATTATGTGATAGGCCTAAATGGAAGCAGAGAAACGAAAAAAAAAAAAAAAGAGGCAGCTTTGCTTTGTGGTAGCCATGCTGACACCTAAAAGGTTTGCCTTCATGTTTAAACCTCTTCCTGTGAGGTCAAAAACAGAACAGAAACGAAACCACACAGACACACAAAACCGTATTGTCATCGCAACACAGTTTCAGAAAAACAGAAAGAAGACCCTTCCGTCCGCCCTTGAGGGGTTGTTTAACATTGGGGAGCAACATTTGATTCTTCCTTTTAGACCCAACAATCTTTGAGTGCCCTTCCACCACCAGGGCTACCACGGAGTTTCGCTTCCTTCGCCAATTCCTCTGTGAGACAGGGTTCCAGGAGGACAGCGCTAAGGAACAACCGGTCCAGGAAGGACCCTATCACTTCCATCAATGACAGAGGCAAGGAAGTTAGAAAGATCAATTCTTTCTGGACTCAACAGAACATATCAACATGGTGATCAAGACGTCCCGGGAAATGGCAGCACACCGTGTATTCTGGAGGGGAAAAGGACGAAAGCCGACGATACCCTTTGCCATGTCTGCGCGCTGCACGGGTACAGCATGCCAAGACCCGCCAGGGCAGGGTCTGCGCTGCACTCTGAGGCCCCAGTCCCCTTCCGTGACTTAAGCTGCCCGGGATGGATGGGAGGCAGGAGGATCAAGAAGTAGCCAGTATGTCAAATCATCTTCTTTGTACAACAAATTCCCTGGGCGAAGACCCCTCTCACCTTCCTCCTCCAGCATCCGCATTCCTATAGTAAGGACTATTTCAGAAGTGATGAGGATGTTCAGTTGAAAAAATGTCGAGTGACAAAGATACAGGGACCTAGAGGCAGGAAGGGCCGTGCTTCACAAAGACGGGTCAGTCCGCCCCCTGGAGGCCCTCCTCGGTGGACTGGGCAGTGCGTGCCCCACCCCTCACGAGCTCTTCCCTGGCCCCCTCCTTCCGGGTACACTGCCCTGTGAGGACTGCCTCCGTGTGCCATTTAGTCCCGTCTCCTATCGCAACATAAAAAGGAAACCTTGACAACTACGCCAGAAGTTTCCAGACAATGATGGCAGAATAGGTGCAGGAAAAAAACAATTTCATTTCAAATTTACTGCAGATTTGCTTTTTTAAGCAGATCGGAACAGATCTTTTGAAATTATCTCACTAAGGGAATTCACACTTCAAAATGCCTCTTTAAAGGTAAGGTTCTCTGCCGCACATTGTTTACAATCTCCGACTGGTCTTAAATTAAAATTACTCCTTCAACCCTCTGCTTAGTCTTTAAATTATTCCAAGGTCACAAAGAAAGGTTAAGGAGGGGGAAGAAAAAGAGCAGCCCCACAGTCTGAATTTTCCTTTATGCAAACATGTCTGACTGCCCAGAGTCGCAGAGAAATACCGGTTACCTCCTAATAAGATTATTACGCATCTTCTCCAGGTCAGGAGTGGTCGTAAATCAGACCATGATCAAATCACAGAGGTTAAATGGAAGTATTCAACAGCATGATTTGTTTTCGGTATAACTGAAGTTTCTCATAAAATTGCAAATATTCTCCCAGGTGGTCTAACAGTGCCCCAGGTTTTTGGCATCTGATGGAGGGAAAAGTTCTAAAGCCTCAAAAAATAATCCATTTTGTTCCTTGACAACTTGCTTCTATGAGAAAAAATATTGGAACAAAAGGAATGAATTACAGCAGTCCCTGGCTCCTTGGTGGAGAAAATAATGTATCCCCATAATGGAGATGAGCAGGCATTTTCAGGAGGGCAGCTGGGGCGGCGGCAGCGTTCTCACTGCTCCTGAAGGGCCCGCCGCATGTGCCTGCGGACCGAGGCGGGGCAAGTCAGACCCGGGCTTCACGCTGCTGCCTTTTCTTTGAGTTTCCAGTCCTGCAGTGACTGCTGAGGAGGTTTCCCTCTTAACTGAATGTGGACGCCAGTTACAATGTGAGTGAGTTTCCCAGAGCTGAACGTCTTTTAAAACTATTTCCCAATATTTAATGTTACAAGGCAACATTAAATATTCTCATCCTGCATTTTCACTTCGGTCATAACCTACAAGGTGGGTTGACCCTCAACATCCTCGGGAGAAAAGGTGGAGACACGGATGACGCGACTGGGCAACTCTGACAACACAAACAGGCCAAGTGAGACCAAAACCACACAGAAGTACAGGGAAGAGGTGCACCCCCACTCCATTCCCCTTCCAGCCTGGGGACCTGGACGCTGGCGCGCTCACTAGGAGTTGGCTCCCAGGGCTAAGAAGATGCTTCCCAAAGTACAACTTTGTTTGGTAATAAGTGGTTCCCTGGGTTTATACACTTTAAACTTAATTTTTAAAAATTAAGTGAATGTGTATGAAATGCACTGGATGTGCAGCAGCCGGGGGACGGGCCACAGCTGTTTCGTGTGACGTGTGTTGGCTGTGCCACGCCAGCACACACAGCACATCAGTACAGGTCCTACACAGAGTAAATGTTCCAGGAGACGTGAGTGGACGAGGGAACTGCGCAGTGTGGTATCATGCAGTGTGCACAATTAATCTGAAGTCTCACAAGTGTGAAAATGTATCTAGCTTACTTTCAGTACATGGTCGAAGAGGCCTAGATTTATGTACATACAAATAACAATTTTCAAATTGGAGTTCTTCGCTCATTTCTCTTTTTTGTCTGTACTTTTCATTATTACCTATTCTGTCTGTGGCTGAAGTATCAAACAGAGTATTATCTTCCAGAGTCTATTTCTCCATAGGATGAGCATCACTGCTAATGCGTCCTTTCATAAAAATAAAATGTATGGTTTTTCGCAAAGCAAAAACAGCCTACCAAAGTTTTGCTGATATAGGTTCAGAACCAACAGAAACTCGGAGTCTCAGAAAGAGGGTGTGGGGACCGTGGTGAGTCCTGCGACAGGCCCTGCTTTCACGGCTCACTCTGTCCTGGGTGCTTGCACTTCCACTGCATTCAACATGTGAAAATCAATCGCTGCTGTACCGGACCTCAACACCAGCCGAGTGGACACAGTTTTCTGTCTCAGGGTCCTGCCGATGAATTCGCAGGGCCCCACGGGAAGCACCGTTACCAGGCACCAAGGTCAGAGGCTGCCCAGTCAGTGACGGGGAATGGACTTATCACCAGAGGGAATGGGGTTTGTCCCGAGCACAGCACTGACTTGAAACTGCCTTAGTTCACCTTGTCTGTTTCTAAGCTTCGAGAGCCTTGAACACGAGAAGAAAGAGCTCTGCTGTCCCACTCGTGTGCCCTAACAGAGGGCAGCGTCGGGGAGGAAGAAAGGGCCTGACAGCCCTCCCCGTGGGACAGGATGGCCAGGTCATCACGGTGCCAGAACAGCATGTGGGGAAAGGAAATCAGGTCACGTCCATCACAGAGGGACCACAGCGATGAATTATTTGGGTTCCGAGAGCTCCTGACTCAAGTTGCTGCAGTGTCCAGGATTCTAGTTTTCAGGAAGGATTTTTAATCCTACCCCAGGTCAACCTGAGACACAGCTGAACTCCAAGCAGGGGACGGGGTCTCAGATTCCCTGCCGGGGCCGCCTGCTCGGCTGAGGGAGGGGCTTTTCCAGAGACTGTCCTAAGGACACCCGTCCTTCTGCCCTCAGGCGCTTGGTGCCCGTGCAGTGCCAAGCCCTGCTCAGATCAACTTTCCTGTGTAAGTTCCCAAATAATTACTTTTCCTGAACTGCTAGGGACTCTTTCATTATATCACACATTGTC